GCCCCCAAGGAGCACGTTCCAGCATGCATGCAGTCACTCAGCTAAGGCTGACTCCCTGCACTCGCTCTGTGCAGACAGGCCCTGGGGCTCATCAAGGCGTCCTGCCCCTGCCCCGGGCTGGCAGTCTAGAGGACATGGCTTTCTGGACCAAAGGCTCTCACTTTCTAGCCTGTGACAACGGCTCGAGAGACACTGCGGCTCCCCAGGCAGGCACTGCTGCACAAAGCCCCAGAAACGCGCCCAAGGTGAAGCCGCTTGCCTCCTACCCCTCAGCGCTGCAAGACACCCATTCTCAGTGTGACGGGGTGAGACACCCAGCCCACGAGGCCATTAGGGTCCACAGCGGCCCAGAGCACGCAAACCCCTACACAAAGGAAGGATGACTTGGCAACGGCACCCAAACGATTTATGCTCACGTACATGTTTACAGCTGTGGTTTATGTCAGAGAGCCAGATCTCAAGGCTGGACGGGCCTTAAAGGGGTTCGGAGTGAGCCCCCTCACAATGGCATCTGCTTACACACCTGCAGGGACAGGGAGCTCACCCCCTCACAGGCAGCCCTGAGCATCAGAAAGTGCTTCCTCGGTATGTCTCGCCATGGATCCCACCTCTGGGTCCCAGGTAGGAGCAGAAGGAAAACCCTAAAACCCAGTACATTTAGGGCAAGGACACGCAACCCCATCTGCTGGCACTGGTGACAGTGGGACCACGTCATTCTCTGTGGGGGACCGTCACGGGCATGGCAGGGGGCTGAACAGCATCCCTGGCCCCCACCCACTCCATGCCAGAACACCCCCACTGTGACAACCATAAATATCCCCAGACATTGCCCCCAGTGGAGAACCCCTGGTTTACAGGAATCCTCAGGGGGGAGAGTGGCTTCCCTCAGGCTCAAGAGACCAGCGCTAACCTTTCTCCTACTGTTCAGCTTTCCGCAAGTGTAGCCAGACAAGCTCCAAGCAGCAGTCTGCCCCTGCCCTTGCTCCCTCACCCTCCCTCGATGCCACCTTCAACCCAGCCCGCCTCTGCTTACTCCTCCTTATTGCAGGGCACTGTGCAAATACAGCCCGACACATCCCGCACAAACCGGTGGTTCCTTTCTCTGGACAGAGCACGTGCAAAAAGGCATGGGGATCTGGAAGGAGCGGCTGCTGCCCTAGAGAACTGCACAGAGGTTCAGGGAGGCTGGGTGAGGCCGTGCTGGGGGCAGGAAGAGGGAAAAGTAAAGCCAGAAGAGCAGTCTCCCGGGCGGTGTCCTAGGGCTAGTGGCAGGAGGGTGGGACAGGACAGGGAGCGGGGACTGGCAGGAGCTGTGCCTCTGTGCACTGGAAGTGGCATCACGCGCAGACCGGGCAGAGCACCGGGGAGCAGGCCCAGGCCTGCCCAGCACAGGTGAGGAAGCGGGCGGTCCAGAGAGGAGGGGCCCCATGAGAGGCCGGGCGCGGGAAAGGTTCACGGAAAGAGTGACCTCTTCTGGGCTACCTCAAGCCAGGTGCCTGCAGGACACCCAGATGACGACTGGCACTGGCCCCGTGGGCCTGGAGTTCTGAAGCCAGCCTCGGGCCGCAGCAGCAAACGAGGACAGGAAGTGAAGTGTGCCCGCCAAGAAAGTGTGCAGACAGCAGAGAAGCATCTGAGTTCAGATCAAAAACAAGGGTCACCACACAGGAACCCGCACGCCACTGTTTGCAGTGGCTCTAGTCCCAACAGGCAAAAGGTGGACACAGTCCAAGTGTCCACCCAACACGCAGGCACATCCCTCGGCCTCGGATGGGCCAGGCGCCCACACGCGCGGCCCCAGGGACGGACCCCGAGCCCACGACGCTCAGGGAGAGAACCAGACACAGAAGGCCACACGGGGTGTGAGTCCACGTGGGTGACACGTCCAGAACAGGCTCATCCTGACAGAAAATGGGGCAGTGGTTGCCGGGGCTGGGGAGGGCAGAGGACTGATGGGTAAAGGGGAGGAGTTTGTTTGGACGAGAATGTTCTGGAGTTAAGGTAATAGATGCAAAAGCTGGAAACCACTGAACTGTGTACTTTAAATCACTAAATCACATGGCATGGGAATTCTATCTGAATAGATCTGTTAAAAACAAAAATTCAGCAAATAATGAAAAGGAGAGCCAGGGAAGGAGGCTGCTCGCTGACGGAAGGCGTAGGAAGCCAGGAAGAGAGTGGAGTCCACAGTCCAGTTTCGGGGGTCGAGGACTAAGCCACTCGAGGCTGCGGGGCCGAGCCATGTGCCCCTGTCCCAATCTCAGGCGAGGAAACCACAGTAGGAGAAAGCAGTCACTTGCCAAGGACACAAGGATGCATGGCGGTTGGGGGCACGAATGTCCCCTGTCCAGAACGTCAATGCCACATGAGAAGGAGCTCTGATTGTGTGCGAGTCGCAGTGCCGGACAGAAGGAAGGAGCTGCAGGATGCGCCTGGCTCCAACTGCCCACCGCCTGCAGCCACTCCGCAGGCACCAAATCTTGGGCAGGTGGAGTGAGAGGTGGCCAGAGCAGTAACGAGTGGACCTGACAAGGGGGAGGCTGCTGGGGCCTGTGATGGATCAGAAACTGGACGGCGGGAAGCTGCTAGGCAGAAGAGGGGCAGCCTACTATTCCCACCCCAGCTCTGAAGGCCATCAGCTCCCTGTGCCAACTCCCAGAATGGGCCAAACGTACCCTACCCTCTGGCTGTCCCCACCCTTTAGCACTCACTCAAGCCAGGGTTCTTGAGCTCCAGTCTTACGGGGCGCAGAGTCCCTGGCCTCACAGGGCTCTTGGACTGAACTCCAGTCCCAGGTCCCCCCCCTTGGCACTGCTGATATCTGCACTGGGCGGAGGGGTGGGACAGCAGCATCCCTGAGCCCACCCACTCGATGCCAGGAGCACCCCCAGTCGTGATCACCACAGACACCCCCAGACAGCACCAATGTCTCCAGTGGAGAACCTCTGCTCTCGAAGAGAATTACAACGGTAGTGCCATTTCGCTGGCTCCTCAAAGACCAAGTCCCTTGATCCTGACACCTGACATGAGTCTCCAGGATCGGCCTTCCAAACAGAACCATTTGGGATCCTCACCCTGCTGCTCAGTGCTACCAAGCAAAAGGTCCCCACGATCAACCCCACTCTGGTCCCCAAATCCGCCAGGCCAGAGGCCCCAACAAACAGCACTGGGAGATTTCCTGCTGAGAGGGCCTCGTGTGAGAATGGAGGCAGACTGGCTTCTGAAGACTCATCGCCTCCCCATTTGCTTCCAGGCACTTCTCCCGTAGCCCCAAACAGCCACTGCCACCGGCTGGGCCACGGCGGGGGGGGTGGGGGGTGGGGGTCTGAGATTTCCCCGGGGAAACAGTCACGGGGCCCAAATGGCCAGCACAGCTAGCTCCCTGGACACTGCCCACCACCCAGCAAAGCAACTGTCCTTTGAACCAAGAGCTGTCCAAGGGCCAGGAGCCTGGTTTTCAGAGGGGGAGAGCCCATAATCCTCAACAAAACCCTCTTGGAGCAGTGGAACCTTGTTCACTTGGAAAGTGGCCTTTAACAGCCAGCACACCTGCCTGCACTCTGGGGCTTAGAAGGCATGCCAGTCTAGTAGTTTCTGTTGAAACAGAAGGGCCCATGGCCTCAAAGGCCAAAACGGCCCATGAGAAATTCTGCAAGAACAGCCCGGGATGTGTTCTAGGGGACAATGCACCACTCTGGGGGCTGTCCCCAGGAGATCTCATCAGCCTCTAGTGTGCAAATCCCCTCCCCCCTCCAGGAGAGACCACCCAACCTCCTTCACTTCAAAGACCTTCTCACCTGTCCCCAATCTGGGGTAAGGGGAACAGCTGTGCATGTTGAGATGGATTGTTTTTCTTTTGATAAATCCTCCCCATCTAAAGTATAGTAAGAAGTTGGGGGGGGAGGGATGGAGGGTGCGCAGTGTAGCCTCGCCAGAGGGAGGCAATGAGGTCATCACTCTGTGAACTGGAGTGGGGTGGGGGTGGGGGGCTAGTTCCTAGCATGACAGGTCCCTGAATGAGGGGAGGATTTCCAGGGGGAAAGAACAGGGAAAAATGAAACAGGTCTAGGCTAGACAGCTGCGCAGAGGAGGGTCTCCGGCTCTGGGTTGGGGGCAGGTCTAGACAGTGCAGGACCAATGGGTGGGGGTCTGCAGTTTTTAGTGGGGGAACATGGCTGTGATGGGAAGACGCATTCCACACCTGGGGGCTCCCGGATGTCGGGCGGGTGCTTACAGGAAAAGGCAGGATGGTCCGGGATAGGAGGGTAGCGGGGCAGAGACAGGTCTCAGATTTTGGTGGGGTCAGGGCCCACATGGAGAGCTTGACACCGGCTGGATGGCAGCTGGAAAGGGTCAAGCTGGGAGGCTGGGGGCGCAGATGGCAGTGGGGTTGGGAGCAAAGGGGTCACTGATGCACTCAAATGGCAATACCTAAGTGCTTCTGGGTGCCGGGAACCCCGAGGGGCGCCCACACAGACAAGGTCTCCACACCTCCTTCGACTTGTTTCAGGGGCCACAAGGCGGGGGAAGGGGGCCTGGTTCGAGCCTGGCTGTGTCGTGACAGCCGTGGGGGGGGGGGGGGGGCCGTCTCGATCCGGGCAGGGCCTGAGCTGGGATGGTCCCAATTTGGAAGAGGCGGGTCCGAGAGGCCAGAGATGGAAGAGCCGTTCTGGGGGACAGCTCGGCCCCGTTTATAAGCGGACCTCGGACCTAGCTGCGGGGGGAGTGCTCGGGCTGCAGGTGGCTCGGGCTGGGGCGCTCATGCAGGGCCGGGTTTGGGGGGTGAAGACGGGAGTGAGATGCGGAGGTCACCCCGGGCCTAGCTCGGCACGGGGGGCTGGCCGGCTCCCGGAGGGCCCGAGTGTGGGGGCCGCTGGCTCGGTGTCGGGGCGGAGTGGGGGGAGGCCCGCGCCGCCGTCGGGCCCTGCCCGGCTCGGGGGGGGGGGGGGGGGGGGCGGCTCGGGCCCGGGGGGCGGGTCCCCACACCCCGGCCGCCTCACCTGGCTCGCTCCGGTCGCCCGCTGGCTCCGCCGACCCCGCCTCTCCCGGCGCCGCGCCGCGCCGGCCGCCGCCGGCCGCAGCTCCACTGGTCCTGCCGCGGCCGCCGCCAACGGGACCCCGGGCTCCGTGCTCCTTAATATGGCGGCGGTCGCTGTTCCGCGGCCTCCCGGAGCCCTCCTCCGCCGCGCGCGCTCCCGCGCCCGGCCACGCCCCCGCGCCGGCGCGCTGCGTGCGGCCGCCACGCCCCGCCACGCCCCCTCGCGCCCGGGCCTCTCGCCGGGGCCGCGCCCCGACCCGCCCACCCTGCCCGACTGCGCTTGCGCACGTCGGGCATCTCGGGAGGACGTGACGTAGCTGGTGATTCGAATCAATACAGGAAGCGCGGCGCCACGCGTTGCCATGGGCGACCGAGGCCGGCTGGATCTCCCCGGCCCAGGGGAGCCCAGTTGCGTGGGATCTGCGGGAATGGCTCCGCTCAGTTAGGACGCGGTTCTCAGGGGACAGTCGCAGGGCCGGGCACTCAAGGGCAGACAGACCCACGCCCCGTGAGGGCAGGCGCACTGCGTGACAAGCGCAGAGAAGCTCGACAACAGGTGCATGTCTGGGCCGGGCCGACCCCACTGCCTGCGGCAGCGCATTCGTTCAGTCGGCCAGCATTTACTGCGCTCCTACCCAGGGCTCGTCCAGGCCCTGGAAGTGGGGCCCAAATCCTAATCATCTCTGCCCACCCCCCACCCCCTAAATGGGCAGAGGATCCAGACAGACATTTTCCAAAAGAAAAGAGATGACTGGCCAAGAAGCTCACGAAAAGTCGCTCACCACCATTACTCATCAGGGAAATGCAAGTCACAACCAGTGAGCTCCCACTTCGCTCCTGCCAGGGCGGCTACGAGAAAAGAACAGAACAGGAAGCGAAACCAGGAAAGTGCTGGTGAAGATGCGGAGCAACTGAGCCCCCCTACGTTGCTGGTGGGGTGGAGAATGGGGCCGCCACCGTGGAGGACGGCCCGGCAGCTCCTCGGAGAGTTACCCGCTGGACTACCAGAAGACCTAGCGATTCCTCTCCTCGCTATATCCATCTACCCAGGAGAATTGAAGTCGTGTCCTCACAAACATTTTTACACGGGTGTTCAGACAGTTATTCACAATAACCAAAAAGCACGAACAACCCGGGTGTCTATAACGGATGGTTGGGTGGACAAAAGGCGGTGTATCCGTGTCGTGGCATGTCGCGTGGCGGGAGAAAGGAGTGATGCGCTGAACGCTCTGCCGCGTGGATGAACCTGGCAAACACGATGCCCCGTGACAGAGGCCGGACACAAAAGGCCGTTGTGTTGTACTGTATTTCCCCGCTTATATGAAATGTCCACAATGTCCGGGCAAATCTGTAAAGACGGAGAGTAAGTTGGTGGTTGCCGGGAGGTTGGGGGTGAGGGAGGAAAAGGCACAGGGAGTGACTGCTAGGAACTTTCTTGCTGGGGTGATGGAGTGTTCTAAAATTGATGTCATGATGGTTGCATAGCTCTGAACACACTAAAACCCAGTGAATTATACCCTTTGAGTGGATTTTAGAGTGTGTAAATTGTATCTCAGTAAAAACGGTCATAAAAAAAAAAAAATCCAGTCTGCCTGGAGCTGAAGCATGGAGAGTAATAAAAGAAGGAAAGATGGGGTGAGGGATTAGAGTCTCAAACACAAGTCGATCAGGGACATTTGGGCAAAGGTTTGAAGGAAAAGAATATACCATGGAATGATACATGTTATGCAGTGCGCCTTTATCTGATTTCAGTGAGCTCCGGAAAGCACCATAGGATCTAGAGCAGTGTCATCTGATAGACACAGAACACGCGCCACCATAAGTAATTTTAAATTTTCTTGTAGCCACACTTATAAAATACCAAGAAACCACTGTAATTAATTTGTTGAATTAACACGTCAAAAATATTTACATTTCAATGTTTTATCAAAATCAATTATCAATGAGATATTTGCTGTTCCTTTCCTCTTAATGTCTTAAAACCCAGTGTGTATCCGCTTACGGCCCATCTCCGTATGGGGGCTAATTTTCATTGGAAATACTTGATCTCTATAATTTATAAAATTGACAGTGGGACAAGTAGATTCACGTACCGCAGGTATTCCAAGCATGCTTAAAACGTTTCCAATAACTGAATCAAATATCATCTTTTTCCACCTCTATTTAAATTAAATTTTAAAAATTAGGGACGCTTGGGTGGCTCAATCATTAAGCATCTGCCTTCAGCTCAGGTCATGATCCCAGGGTCCTGGGATCGAGCCCCGCATCGGGCTCCCTGCTCCGTGGGAAGCCTGCTTCTCCCTCTCCCACTCCCCCTGCTTGTGTTCCCTCTCTCGCTGTGTCTCTCTCTGTCAAATTTTTAAAAATCTTAAAAAATATATAAAAATAAAAATAATTGATTCTGTAGCTACACTGGCCACCTTTTTTTTTAAGATTTTTTTTTTTTTAATTTGACAGAGACACAGCGAGAGAGAGAACACAAGCAGGGGGAGTGGGAGAGGGAGAAGCAGGCTTTCCGCGGAGCAGGGAGCCAGATGCGGGGCTCGATCCCAGGACCCTGGGATCATGACCTGAGCGGAAGGCAGACACTTAACGACTGAGCCACCCAGAAGCCCCCATGTCGATTTTTCAAAAGAAAAAAAATGCATGAAAATATTACTGATTTATGTGCTGAGGTTTTTGGCATCCCCTTCAATTTGGGGCTCACCTGCCACACCGCTTAACAAACACTTTCCTCTCTCTGGTTCCACTTATTTATTTTTATTTATTTTAGACAGTGCATGCACAAGCAAGGGGAGGGGCAGAGGGAGAAGCAGGCTCCCCACTGAGCAGGGAGCCCGATGTGGGACTCGATTCCAGGACCCCAGGATCATGATCTGAGCCAAAGGCAGACACTTAACCAACTGAGCCACCCAGGCGCTCCCAATTTTTTTTTTTTTTTTTTTTTTTTAAGCAGAGGTTCCTATTTTTGACAAACTAGAAGTCCAGAGGGGTGACAGAGCCTGGCAAACATTCTGTAAGTCGCTCCTGAGGTCTGTCCTGGGCAGTGAGAAGAGGCAGAGCAGGAGCCCAGATGAATTCTCTCACTCAGCCTGGCTTGGGGCAGGGGCCAGGCCGACCCCCAGCCTGACATCGGAAGTATAACAAAGGGCTATGGGTTTCATTGCATCCCCCAAAAAGGCATCCCCCAGTACCTGGGAATGGACCCTTATTTGGAAATAGGGTCTCTACAGTCAGCAAGTTAGGACGAGGTTATACCAGAGTGGGGGTGGGCCCCGCATCCAGTGGGCAGTGTGCTTATAAGAGGGGAATCTGGACACAGACAGAGAAAGAGGGGAAGGCCATGTGGGGACGAGGCAGACACTGGAGAGATGTGTCCAAGCCAAGGAAGGCGGAGGATTGCCGGCAACACCAGAAGCTGGAGGAGACAGGGAGGATCCTTCTCCAGAGGGCTTAGAGGGAGCAGGGTGCTGCTGACACTTTGAGCTTGGACTTGCTCAGGTGTAAAGGAGCCGCAGAACGAAAGGCGTGATGTCTGCGTTTAGCACAGATGTCTGTCCTGCTATCAGTCTGTCGCATGTCTGTAGGTTCAAGATTCCAAGTTTCCTGACGTATACAGGTCTTGCTTTTGGGTGTGGCTTCCCATATCTGCTTCCTGCACCCTTGGGTCTATCTCCTTACCCCCAGCACATCCTGGGGGCCAATCATACCTGGCACTCTGCCTGGAAGCCTTCCAGAGTCACCACAGTGCCTGGCCCCTGGGGAGGTCCTGCGTGAGTATTAGCCTGAGCCACAAAACACGGTCGAGATGGTGTCCTTGCTGGCCAGTCAAGGTTACCGCAAAGTCAATCCAGAGTCAGCTCTCGAACACATAGGAAGACAATAAAAAAATAATATCAGGGAGTGCCTGGCTGGCTCAGTCGGTAGAGCAGGTGACCCTTGAGCTCGGTGTTGTGAGTTCAAGCCCCACGTTGGGTGTGGAGATCACTTAAAAAAAAAAAAAAAGGACGTCAGCTCCAGGAGACCAGAGACTATCTCGTTCTATGCCCTCTGTGCCCGGGACCGCCTGCCACGCAGTAGGTGTTCAATAAATATTTGTGAAATGAACACCTGAATGTTTAAACCAATAGTTGGTCTGTTAAGTGAGTTCTTTGTTATGCATGGCATTTTTATGTTTTTAATTGCCCACATTTATTTTTTTTTAATTTTATCTTCTTGACAGAAAGCACATGCGCACATGAAGGGCGGGGGAGGGGCAGATGGAGAGGGAGGAGCAGACTCTCTGCTGAACAGGGAGCCAGACACTGGGCTCAATTTCTGGACTCCGAGACCATGACCCGAGCCAAAGGCAGACACTCGACCGACTGAGCCACCCAGGCGCCCCGCGCACATCTCTTATGAGAGCTGGTACGTCAAATCAACTGCTGTCTGTCCTCCCTTAAGAACGGGAACACCCGGCCACGCAGGTGCACCTGCCTCAGTGCCTTACGCTTTCTGCCTGGCCCAGGAAGCAAGAGAAAGCCAAGAGGAGAACCGGAGTGGCCAGGCGAATTTTGTCCCCAGGGTAAAGCAGCTGCCTTGTGCAGGCCGTTTCCTCCCTCTGACGGGGCCACTGTCACCGTCCCGAACACATGTCAAAGTAAATACCATGGCGAAACGTTCCAAGTAGCACAGGGAGGTATAAGATCGAAAGTACTTTGGGTAAATGCTCGGATATTTTTTTCAAAAGTCACCCATGTGTCGTTTACGTACATAACTCGCCGGCTTCGAGTTCTGGAGGTCCATCTTGGACTGCTTTCCTGTAGCACAGGAAGGTCTTCCCGTCCTTCTGAGGGTCTGATTGTTAGGGTATAAATGCACCACTGTTTAAGCAGTGGCCCTGCGGACAGGCACCCCTCAAATCTTTACCTGGCATGTCTCGGTGCTAGGGGTCCACTTAGTGATGTGCGGGAGCCCGTGAGTACTGACCACAGAAGTCACGGTCAGCAACTGCACGAGTGGACCATGGCGGGAAGATTCATTTACTTATTTTAAGATTTTATTTATTTGACAGAGCATGAGCGGTGGGGAGCAGCAGAGGGAGAAGCAGACTCCCCGCTGAGCAGGGAGCCCGATGCGGGGCTCCATCCCAGGACCCTGGGATCATGACCTGAGCCGAAGGCAGCCGCTTAATGACTGAGCCACCCGGGGGCCCCATTGTGGGAAGATTTAAACTATGGGAACTGGCAAACGCTACGGACTAGGGCTTTATTTTTATTTTCCAGATTGCTCCTTTACCACCACACCGCTGTCATGTCATGGACAACAAAGCAGACAAAACCCCTGCTCACATGGTGCTTATTCTAGTGGAGAAAACAGGCAATAAACGAATTAAGTGTGCCGGAAACTATAGATGCTATGGAGAAAAAGAAAGCAGGAAACAGGATAAAGGAACATTAGGGAGGTCATGATGTCAATGCCAAGCGCTCTGGCAAGCCTCGGCAAGGAGGTGGTGTTTGAGCAAAGGAGCAAGTGTTTCATTGAGGGAGTAAACATACCGGGAAGGAAAAAGGTTCCAGGTAAACAGCGCATGCAAAAGTCCTGGGGCAGGATTGGGCCTGACCTGTTGGAAGAACACTGAGGAGGCCTGATCGGCTGGAGCAGAGTGGGCGACAGAGAGGGGCAGGGCAGGGGCGGGTCGTGCAGGGCCTTGTGGGCCTTGGGGAGGACTTGGGCTTTTCCCCCAGGGAGGGAGGGACCTGGCTCCGGTGCTCACCCGCGCCCTCCGGTGGCCGCTGCGGGGAGGACGGGCTGCGGGGAAGGGAGGTGGGGGCCGGGGGCGGGGCAGAGGGGATTGGGCAGGTCCAGGCAGGCGATGGTGGCGGCTGGGGGCAAGTAAGAGATCTGGATTTTAAACTGATTCAACCGCGATGTTTTTAGGCTGAGCCCCTGGAATGATAGTTCCCACTTCCTGTGGGAGGAGCAGCTTTGGGCGGTAACGTGAGGGATCCTAAGAACACACTATGTTTGGGACGCCTCACCAGTATCTAAGCGGAGACGTAACGGGGCAGCCGGACCCCGAGTCTGGAGCTCAGCGGAGGCCCAAGCTGGGGACAGGACTGTGGGCATCGTCCTGCCGTAGACCGGGGTGCGGGGGGAGAGCGGGCGAGGCTGCCGGGAGGGGAGCGGCTGGGGAGGGAAGAGGCCCGAGGACCCAGCCTGGGCACCGGGGGAGCGGTGAGAGGTGGGAGGGGAGCCGGGTCCCCGAGGAGTTCCCAGGAGAAGGAGGGGGCCGGGCCAGGGAGACAGCGCCCGAGGGGTTGGAGGACAGACCAGGACAGGTCTGGGAACAGGAGGGCAGAGCCTGGCGGGTGCCGGTAGGAGGGAAAGGCGAGCCGAGGGAGGCAGTCGGGGTTTGGCTCTTCCTGGGGCTCTTGCTGGAGAGAGAAGCACAAAGTGGGCAGGAGACAGAACCTGGGGATGCTGTGAGGTCAGGAAGGCTTGTTTTTAAGGAATTCCCACAGTCTCTGCTGCTGGGGACAGGTGGCTCCGAGGAGAGCAGGGAGGGTGGCTGGTGGGCCAGTGGACGAGGTGCCCGTGACGCTGAGGTAATAGGGAATGTGTGTCCCGGGCCCCAGGCCCCCGCCCCTTCTAAAAGTCTGTAACTTCCTGGGGAGCCTGGTGGCTCAGCTGGTTGGGCGACCGACTCTTGGTTTCAGCTCAGGTCGTGATCTCGGGGTGGGATCGAGCCCCGCGTCAGGCTACGCACCTAGCACGGAGTCTGACTGGGACTCTCTGCCCCTCCCCCCTGCTCTCTCTCTAAAATAATACATCTTAACCAAGTAAAATTTAAAAAGCCTGTAACTTCCTGAGAGGCAAGGGCCAGAGGAAGAGGAAGGCCTTCCCACCACACTTGGGCTCACCAACAAGGCCTGGGACTGCGGGCTCACAGGTGGCTTCAGGATGGGGCTGGGGGCTGAGGAAGGAGGGACTTTCAGCCACACCCTCGGCCCTGGGGGAGAATCACCGTTGGCCACCTATTGAACCAACCTTGCCTGCACACGGAGCCTCCACAAAAATCCCTAACCAAGGGACTCAGAAAGCTCCAGGGCGGGTGAACGCATCCCTGTGGCAGAGGGGTTGTGCCCCAAACTCCACAGGAAGAAGCCCCTGCACCTGGGACCCCTCATCTGGTCGCTTGTGACATCCTTTATAAGAAACGGGCAAGTCAAGTGCTTTCCTGAGCTCTGGGAGCTCTGCGAGCAAATCATTACCAGAGAGGAGGGGACCCCAGGGGGTCTGTGTGAACTCGGGCGGTGAGCATCAGAACTGAATCGAATTGTAGGATGCCCATGGAGAGATGACTTGCTTAGGGTGGAGACCTCGCGTGCCTGGTGTCAGAAGGGCCAGGAGGAGAAGGCTTCAGCGTGGCAGAACCAGCTCACAGTCACAGCACCCAAGGACCCCCCACTCTGGGCACCTATGCCCTCATGTGACCGGTCAGGGATGTTGTTGGCCGGCAGACAGCAGCAGGTGGAATGTGTCCCACGTGAGATTAGGTGCTATGGTTATGCCTATTTTACGGTCGTAAAACAGGGTGTTGAAGGCTGCACACGGAGAATGAGGCGGGTAGCTGGGACGGGAATCCATAGCCTGGGCTCCTAGCCATACCACTAAACCCCAATAGGGACTGGGTGAGAATGAGGGTGTGGGGAATCCAGGCTGGGAGTGGGCTGGCTGGAGATGAAACCAGGGCATGGGCCTGGAGCTCTTCAAACACCCCGGCCCCCTCCCTGAGATGTTCCTTGAGAGCAGCCCTGCAGAGCCCACAACATACTCTGAGAGTCATGGCTTGGCAAAAATAATTTAATAGTCCATTTGGACCCCAGGGTCTGCTTGTCCCTCCCCAGCCCCCAAGCCTCTAACAACCCTCCCACCCAGCCTAGTCCGGGGCTAGGGAGTCAGAGGCCCCAGGGGCAGCCCTTGGGAGCCCCAGCCCCTGGCTAGGCCCAAGGGGCGTGGGTTTGCCCACAGCGCCTTTCCGGGCGCCCCTGGTTCAAGAGGCAGGGTCAAGGCAACCCCAACTTCCCTGAGCATAGCCCTGGCCTGCACCCTTAGACCCCCGTTCCCGTGCCAACATCCCACCCCCGTGACCAGAAACCCAGGTGCTGCAGCCCTGCGCCAGGCCCCCCGTGGGGGACACAGGACACCTCAGCCTGGCCCTGGGGAAGTCAGGATGCAAAAGCAGCCAGATCAGGCCAAGCAGACAGCCCTGGGGGGACGGGGAAGCCAGACCCAATCCGCACAAGCTCGGTTTATACGCAGCTCATGCCGAGTCCCGCAGGGCAGGCAGGCGGGCAGGCGGCTCTAGGAGCGGGGCGCGCGTAGCTGCTCCAGCCCATCGGCGTACTGGAAGGCCAACCCGGTCTCATGCTCATACATGTCCAGGGCCACCTCACAGCTCTCCCGCACCACGCGCTCGGGGTCGGCCGCATGGGCCCGCAGGGCGGCCAGGCAGGCGGGCCGGGCGATGGCTCCCAGGGCCTCAGCGCACTCGTGCCGCACCATGGGGTTCTCGGCCCGCTGGGCCAGGGTCGCTGCCAGCTGGGGCACGGCCGCCTCATGCTGCAGCTGGCCCAGGACGTAGCCGATCTCGTGGCGGAAGAGGGCGCTGCCACAGTGCAGGCCTGCGGGCAGGAGGGCAAGGGCGGTCACTGGCTGGGCGGTGCCATCGGGGCAGGCGGGGAACTCGGGGCTGAGTGCCGGAGCACAGGAAGGAGCAGGTGGAGAGGGGGTTCCCCGTTTCCAGGGCACCCCGCCCCAGCCCCGGTGGTCAGTGCTGCTCAAAGGGAGGGACCTGCAGCCAGAGGGGCAGGAGAAGCTGGAGCATGGGCTGGTAATAAGCTCCCCGCCAACAGGCACTGGGAACACAGCGCTGCCCTCTGCAAGGCCAGACGGGGCAGGTGTGGCCTTCCCGGGCCCAGGGTCTCCTTCCAGCTGTGCCCACCTCTCCTTGGGCCTCTGTGTTACGCTATCGCTTGTTTAGTGAGGGGACAGTCATGAGCACCCTCCCCCCGGGACTCCACAGACAGGTCATGCTTTACACTGATGGGGAGTCCCCGCTGGGAGGGGCAGGATGACTGCCCAAGACCAGAGGCCCTTGAGGCCGAGCCAGGGCTCGAGGCCACCTGCCTGACTGCAGCCCCTGCTCCCAAGCACCAGCCAGCCCCGCTGTGCTCCTGCCCGGCACCACCTGGGACTCCCACCCTGTGGCCCAGGGTCCAGGCGATGACCAGGCATCTCCCTGCCAGACAGGAAGTTCTGGCAGTGCAGAGAGGGCTCCAAACCCTCTGCGGGCACGCCCCGGGCACAGGGGTGCAGGGGACCACGGGGAGAGGCCTGCAGAGCAGCCTGGGGAGCTGGGAGGAGAGCGACTCAAGTCACGATAACAGAAAGGGGCTAAGGGTGCCGGAGCCCCACTGCCGCAGACCAGATCCCACCTCCGCTGCTCGCCAACCACTGTCTGCTCAGGCAACCCTCTGGCTTTCTGGCCTCGGCTTCCCCCCGGGGAACTGGCAGGAAGGGTGCCCGCCCACCTCTTGTAAAGCCGGGGAGGAAATGCCGGGCGCCGGGCCCAGGACGTGCGCTCCCCGGGTCACTCTGTTGCTCCCTCTCACAGGCGCAGCTCCTGAGCCTCTCCCAGGCGCCCTGACCGGGACTCCCCAGCTCCCGGCCCCAACTCACCCTCGGCCAGTGCCAACGCAGCCTCTTTGCCGCCGGCATCCCGCAGGGCGAACATGGCTCGATAGCGGTCAAAGAGTGGCTGGGCTTCGTCCAGCAGGACCCCCCGCAGCCGCCCCACGTCACGCTCTTCGGCTGGAGGAGCAGGGTCCACGGACAGGTAGGGCCCGGCCACCGCCGGCTCCCCGCGGTGCTGCTGCAGCCACTCGAGCCGCTGGGCAGCCAGCTGGCACGTCTCGGCCACCTGCGGGGACAGGGGTGCCCGGGTGGCCGCTGAGCACAGGACGGTGGACACGACGGACCCCCCCTCCCCACCCTCGGGGGCTCTAGTCATTCTAGACGGAGAGAAAGCGGCAGGGGCTCGTGCGAGGAGGGAGCGACAGGACGGAGGGCCGGGGCGGCTCCACACGGAGGTGATGTGGGAGCGGAGCAGAGGCCTGCAGCAGGTGCAGCAGGGAGCCGGGTGCAAGTGGCCGGTGCAGAGCCCCTCACGCAGGGCCGTGCAGAGGGCGAGGCCAGGCCTGACTGTTCAGCCCGGAGAGCTGCACTAAGAACGGGGGGTTCTGTCCTCAAGGTCATTAGGAAACACGAATGCTTTAGGTCTGAAAGAGGTTAGCAGACCTCCGTTCTGCACTCACCCCCGCTGCCGAGAGGAGGCTGGGACTGAGTTCTGGGAGGTGAGCAGCAGCAGGTGAGACACACACACGCGTCCACCCAGAAACCCGCACATGCACGCTCACGGCAGCAGAGTTCAGGTGGCCAAAAAGTGGGAACACCCCAAATGTCCATCAGTGGGTGAGTGGACAGGATGTGGGCCACCACACACGGGAGTATCAGCTGCAAGAGCGAGGCGCCCACACGCGCAGCCCCGGGGATGGACCCCGAGCCCACGACGCCCAGGGAGGGAACCAGACACAGGAGGCCACACGGGGTGTGAGTCCACGTGGGTGACACGTCCAGAATAGGTTCATCCACGGACGGGAAGGGGGCTCGTGGGGGCGGGGGGCGGGGGGGGGGGGGGGGGGGGGGGGGGGGTGACTGCTGATGGGGCGGGGCTTCTTTGGGGGCGACGGAATGTTCTGGAATCAGGAGATGGTCGCACACCTCTGTGGATGCTCTAGAAACACTGATGTGTACCCTTTCAAAGGGTGAACTTTATGGTATGTGAATTACATCTCCGTAAAGCTGTTCCCTGAAGAAGGAAGAAAGGCAGGCAGTGGGGAGGCCTGGGAGAGGCCAGGCCGGCTGGGGCAGCGGAGGCGGACACAAGTGGGGGGGGCTCAGCGGGATCCTGGCGCAAGGACTGGACAGGGCGGGCGGGGAGAGGCAAGGCGGGTCAGCCGGGCAGGGTTTAGCGTGGGAATCAGTTTGGTTTTGCCGAACGGGGCCATGGCCTGGGACCACCCTGGCTGCTGCCCTCTCTCCCAGGACCCTGGCCAAGCGGTCGCCCTGGCAACCAGACACAGGGGGAGGCTGGTCCAGGTGGGGGCGGGAGGAAGGGATCAGGCCACGGCACCTCGATGACAGGGTCGTTGGAGTACTGCTTCAGGACTTCCAGGACGTCTGGGTTCCCGATGGCCCCCAGGGCCTCGCCTGAGAAGAACCACACAGACAGCTCACGGTTGGTTAAGAAACGTCGCGGACACCGCGGGGGGTGGGGGGGGACAACCAGCAACACCACCTCCTTTGTGCCCCCCCCCCCCCCCCCGCCACGGCTCTGCTTGTATCTGTGACCCGTGGATTGGAGCTGGAGCGTGAAACTGGGCTGGGACCCCCCCACCCCCACCCCTGGGGCCATGCCCCCTGTGCTCGTGGTCTAGGTGGGGAGACACTGACAAGCATGTCATGACAACTCTGAGACATCGGTTAACATGGAGCCCCAAGAACACCCGGGCGGGTAGAGCTCGTCGGGGTGAGCCCCAGAGGAGGTTTTACGCTGCAGTGTGAGAGAGGAAGGTCAGCAGAGCAAGGCGGGGCTTGGTGGGGGAGCCTGACCGTCTCCCTGTAGGTCCCCACGAGCCCCCATGGGCCCATACTGGTACGGAGTGGGAAGAGACCCACGGCCAGCAAACACTTAACGCCACACTCAGTCCCTGCCCTGCTTTGCAAGTGGGTGGAACACGCTGCTGCCCACAGTCAAGAGCATCCTAATGGAACTGATTCCGGGTCAGGTCTGCCCTCCTTGCCCGCAGCCGTCCAGGGCTCCCACCTCCCTCAGGGTAAAAGCCCAAGTCCTGCCCGAGGCCCCCCAGGCCCTGCCCCTTGCCCTTCCTCCTCCCTCTCTCCCCGTCACTCCCTCGGCTCCCAGCCACAGGGGCCTCCTTGCCACTCCTCCAAGGAGCAGACAGGGTATGGTGCCAAGACGTCTGCACAGGCTGCATCCTCTGCCTGAAACACCTTTCTCCAGATAACTGCCTGCCTTCATTCAGATCTCTGTCCACTGATTAAAAAGGTAACACCTCTGACACCCTCATTCTACTCCCTGCTTTATTTCTTCCTTAGCATTTATGTGTTTCCACCATCACCCGACAAGGTGTTCTGCGATACCACACGCTCAAAATAGCAGAACTCACAGGAAAGGTGAGGTTTGGAGGAGAACATTCTTGGTAAGGAGAGCTCCAACAAAAACAGTGACTGGCACACTGAGAGTTACCTGGGGCAGCCTGGGGAGAGGGGGCGGCTCAGCAGAGCTGGACACTACTTCAGGGAATAGGGGAAATGCCTAAAACGAGTAAGATGGAAACAGAGCCCTGCCCCGCCCCCATCTGCAAAGCAGCTCGCTGGTTGCAGAGACAGCCTCAACAGCACCGGCTTGCCACGAAACGTACTCATCTCCCTCGTTTCCAGTGTCCCTCGAGATAACAAGGCCCGGTACACAGCAGGTGCTCAATAAACACTGGCCCAGTGAATAACACGAACAAATGAAACCGATATCAGGGGCTGGCGAGCTCGCCACCTGATTTTATATTAGCAAAAGATGGTTTCTAACTTTTTATTTATTTTTTTTCTTTTTAAAGATTTTATTTGTTTGACAGAGAGAGCGAGTGTGCACAAGCAGGGGGAGCTGCAGCAGGAGAGGGAGAAGCAGGCTCCCCACCGAGCAGAGAGCCCCACAGGGGGCTCGATCCCAGGATCCTGGGATCATGACCTGAGCTGAAGGCAGATGCTTCACTGACTGAGCCACCCAGGTGCCCGGTTTTTATGTTTTTAAATGTCTTTTTTTTAGGGGCACTTGGCTGGCTCAGTCGGTAGAGCACGTGACTCTCGATCTTGGGGCCCTGAGTTCCAGCCCCACGTTGGGTGAAGAGATGACTTAAAAATAAAACCTTCAAAAAAACCCAACGGATGATATTTCCCGATGTGTGAAACTTAACGTAGAACTCAAATCTGAGCGCCCATAAAGTCCCACCGGCACGTGGCCATGCCTCTCCGCGGAGGGTAGTTTACCGCGGCTTTTAATCACGAGGGCAGAGTTGCGTCTTGGCAATAGGGACTGTCTGGCCCACGGGGCTGAACATTTTACCACCTGCCCTTTAGAGGGAAAGCCTGCCAAGCCCTGCTAGAACACGCGGGAGGGAAAGGGGGCACGTGAGGCAGAAGGGATGGGGGGGGAGTGTGTGTGGAGGTCAGACGTCCCCTCCCCCGCCACTCACCCGCCTCGTGGCGCACCATGGGCTCCTGGCGGGTGTCACGCAGCACGTCCAGCAGCACGGGAATGGCCCGGGAGTCCTGCATCTGGCCCAGGCAGTAAGCCAACTCGTGCTTGAGCAGGGCAGAGTCGTCGTCAAAGGCCCGGCTGATCCAGGTGATGGCTCCAGGACCACCGAGCCCGCGGAGGGTGAAGAGCGCCCGGAAGCGGGCCTGCAGGGGCTGCTGGGGGTCTACCAGTGTCTGCCCGATTGCCTCCACCTCCTGCTCTGTCACCATGGTGTCGCCGGCTGCCTCCTGCCCACGGGCCCAGGCCTTCCGCAGCCCCACCTGCACTGAAACCAGGGCCTCCCGGGCACAAGAACCTGCGGGCAGAAAACCGAGAGCCCAGGTGAGAGGTGTTTTCCATCCACTCATGGATTTGTTCATCTACGAGTGAGGAGAAGCAGTGCGAGCAGAAGGCTGAGAGCAGCTCCTCCAGCCCCGGTCCAGCCTTCAGCTGAAGCAGCCCCGGCCGATGTCCCCACTGCGACCTCACGAGAGATCAGAGCCGGAAGCACCTAGCTACAAGGCCCAGATCCCCGGTCCACCCAAACTGTGGGAGACAGCGTTCGCTGCTCTCAAAGCTGCTAAGTGTGGGGTGATTTGTTACAGGACAGGTAGTTGAGGCGCAAATCCTTTCAGCATGTAAACCGGACCCCTGCCTAATCGTCCTATGGCACCTCATTATTCCAAACTCCCTCACAGTCCCAAAGGCTCTGTGTGACCTGCCACCCCCCCGCCAGCCCTCCCCTCCTACCCCCCTACCCCTCGCTCACTCTGCTTCAGCCACACGGGCCTCCTGGCTCTTCCTCCAACACACCAGGCCCAGTCCTACCCCAGGACCTTTGTATGGGTCGTTCTCTTCCTCAGGAACACTCTTCCCCAAATGCCTCCCATGCTCACCCTCTCACTTGCTTGGGTCTCAAATGTCACCTTCTCAGGGAACCCTTCCCTGATCACAGTTGTCACTGTTACTCTTTTCCCTTGTTCTACTTTTCTTCAAAGCACTTACCACCACGAGATATATAGGACGTTTACCACTGTAGCTGCGTATGGGCGGTCTTCTCTCTCATCAGAACTCTGAAGGCAGGGACCGAGTCTATCTTAGTCACCACTGTACTCCCAGCAGTCCGTAAGCCTTCAGTGAAAACAGCCCTTCCAGTAACAGCAGCTGACGTTCACAGAGGTGCCAGGCCCCTCTGCTAAGCCCCTCACCCTCACGAACTCATTTACTTTTCCCCATAAACACAGAAGATGGGCACCAGGCTTGTCACCTTTCCACAGGCGAGAAGGCAGACACACAGAGAGAGGTTAATAACCTGCTTACGAACAGCGTGAGGAGTTATAAACCCAGCGAGCTGGGCTCCAGAGTCAAGCTCTAAACCACAAATGCTGTGTTGAGTGGATGGACTGACACAAAATGACATAGCCTAGGCTGGGAGGTGGGGCACCATCTCTATCCTCTGGACCAATGAAGACCTGGCGGACGCTTCATAAAGCGTGCTGTGGCGTGCTGCAGTGTCAGCAGGGCTGACTGGGCTTCATGAGGGAGGTGCGCTGCCTGAGCAGGGGTGACCACCAAGGGAGGGAGAACCCGAAACCACAGAAGCCAGGAGTGAGGGAGCTGGCAAGGTGTTAGGGGCCCTGAGCTCTGACTCTGCTACAGAGATGAGCAGTAACTTGTGTGGGCTCACACAGCAAGTCAAGGGCAAACAGGACCCAGGAGTCCTGACTCCCGGCTCTGCAGGGTCGTCCTCAAGACACCCGGAGAAGGCCCTTCATCGCCTACTCATCCCCAGAGTCCTTAAATTCCTGGGAATGAGGGGAAATCTGGCCAACAAGGCAGCTCCAGCTACGGGAGAGGAGCATGAGGAGAAAATACGCTGCTGATCTCCAGGGCAAGACTTGAACTGGGGCAAAAGTCTCTGGGCTTGGTTTCTGCATTTGGAATAAAACTATTAATAGCTCACAAGTCAGGTTTCCTTCTAGTCTCTGTTCAGACACTCAGTGTGCAGGCAGGAACTCTCTGAGCACCCGGATGTAGCCATGCAAACCCTCCGTGCCCTGCACTCCCATTGTGGCGGCTTCAGTGAACCACGCAGCATCTAACAGCACCTGGTGTCCAGCATATTTCACTGATCAGTTTCTTACTATAGAAAGTAAGGGCCGGGAGGACAGACTTCATATATATATATGTGTGTGTATATATATATATATATATATATACACACACATATAAATAAAAAGAAATCTGGGGGCGCCTGAGTGGCTCAGTTAAGCTTCTGCCTTCAGCTCAGGTCTTGATCCCAGGGTCTGGGATCGAGTCCCGCATCAGGGGGTCCCTGCTCAGTGGGGAGCCTGTTTCTCCCTCTCCCGCTCCCCCTGCTAGTGCACGTGCATTCTCTCTCCTTCTGTCAAATAAATAAAATCATTTTAAAAAATAAAGAGAGGGTGCCTGGGTGGCTCAGTTGGTTAAGCGACTGCCTTCGGCTCAGGTCATGATCCTGGAGTCCCGGGATGGAGTCCCGCATCGGGCTCCCTGCTCAGTGGGGAGTCTGCTTCTCCCTCTGACCCTCTTCCCTCTCGTGCTATCTCTCATTCTCTCTCTCTCAAATAAATAAATAAAATCTTTAAAAAAAATAAAAAATAAAGAGAAATCTATTACACACACACACACACAGGTATCTATATTACTTTGTTCACTGCTGGGTCCCCAAAGGCCTAGCATGGGATTTGTCACCATGGCAGGAGGTGCCCAATCCGTATTTGAGTGAACTGAACACCCACTGCACACCAACCATGGTACTAAGCTCTTCATACACAGTGTAAATCCGTATTATTCCTAAAATGGGTAAAAGGCGCACGTGGACCTCACAGTTACTGCGAATAAGGGTGTGCTCATGGAGGGGCGCCTGGCTGGCTCAATCAGTGGAGCGTTCTACTCTTGATCTCAAGGTTGTTAGTTCGAGCCCCACACTGGGCGTAGAGATTACTTAAAAATAAAATCTTAAAAAAAAAAAAGAAGAAGAAGAAGAAGAAGATGGCGTGTTCATGGAGCACCTTATACGCACTTGACAAACCAGAGCTGGTATTAAATATTCCTGCAGGGAGCCCCAAACCCACCTCTCTGTACTCAAGAGGGAGCAACCGAGCCTCCTGGAAGCCCACAGCTCCTACCTTCAACCCATTCTTCAGCGGGAAGCAGGGCAAGGGTGTGGGCGTGGGGTTGAGGGGATCAGCCCCCAACCAAAGCAGAATCTGGGAATCTGCTCACCCCTGTGAAATCCTCTGGATGAACTAGTAAGGGACCGAGAAAGAGGAGACCGGGCTCCTCGACCTCTCGCCCCCACCCGAGATCTATCTAAACCAAGAATTCCCAACAAAAACACCTCTGGTAACCAACTCTGCCCCGGAAAGGGATCTTCCCAACACGGGACTCCCTCGGCGCTGCGCGCAAGACCCCACCCGTTGGAAGAGAACCCGAAGAACCGGAAGCCTCAAGATCTGTCTACGCGGGTCCCTAAGTACCGCATCCCTCCTACCGCTGGTTCTCCCGAAACTCGAGAAAGAGATCGCCCGATATGGGACCCCCTCCCCCACACGCGCTGGCTCCCCGGGTCCCACGACCTGGGAATCCAGTTCCCGGCGACAGGGTCCCCGGGACGCGAAGCCCCTCGGGAGGAGGCCCCTCGACCCCCCACTGACGAATCCGAGAGACGGGACCTCCCCACGAGGCGTTTCCCGCCGTGCCCGCCCGCCAGGCCCGGGCCACGCACCGTGCTGCCTGCAGCCGAAACGCCCAAACGAGCTCCGGGAAGACGAGGCCGCCGACCCCCCCCCCGCCCCGCTCCCACAGCGGCCCCCGGCGTTTCACCAGCCCGGACGCTCGCGGCCCTCTCTGGGGGCGGCCATCTTCTCGCCCACGTGACCGGGCCGGACGGCACCAACGCGGCGCTGGGGGGGGTTCCAGTCAAAGTGTCCGCGGCAGGAGAGAGGTCTGGAAGCACGAGTCGGCATCGGTGCCACCGCTCACATTCACGCAGGAGATGGGGTCTGAGGACATCCCTCAGGGAAGGGAAGGGCAACGTCCACTCTTTCCGCGGAAGACATTCTCTCCGGCTTCCCCACCCAGTTCGATAAGTGGAAATGGTTTGCGCCGATGCCGGCCGGAGCCGGGGTCCGGGTAGCGACGGAGCAGGCGCCGCGTTCCTGGGGCGTGGTCAAGTCCGGGGGGCGTGGCCAATGGCGTCAGGGGGCTGGACTCGAGCTGCGGAAGGGAGGGGTCTAAGCCCTTTCTTCAGACCCCGATCGAGTCGTTGACGCGTCGTTCACTTAACACGTAGTTGACGGGGGCCGAGGACAAGACAACCTGCGATCCTCACCCTCGAAAACCTCACAGCCTGGTGGTCTGAGGGAGACAGACAAGAAATAAATAAGTAAAATACGTGCTAGCTGGTGACACCGGTTAAGCAGTATCGTCCAAGGGCGGTGCGAAGTCCTAGGAGGAGTGGGCAGAGGCTCAGGTGGTGACGTCTGAGCAAACCCCTGGCAGGTACGGGAAGGAGCCGCGGGGATGGTTGCGGGCGAGCCACCCAGACACAAGAAGGACTTGGGTTTACTCTGACGCAAGGAGAAGCCTGAAGTGTTCTAATCAGGGAAACACATACGAGAAGTGTTTCACCTTTGGAATGTGGAGAGTTGGTTGCGACAGTATTTGTAGAGGCAAGGAAAAAAATATTGGAAAAAACGGTGACGTGCAGCCCCTCTTCTGCCTCCGGGGGGTTCCAGCCCCCCTTATCTTTCACCCGGACCACCGCAGTCCCTTTCAGCCTGCCTTCCTGGCGTCTGTCCTCCCCGCCGCGGCCACCAGAGGCCACCTGTGGGCAACTGAGCCAGGCCCCGCCCTCCTCTGCCCACAGCCCTCCAGGGCTCCCACCTCCCTCAGGGTGAAAGATCAAATTCTCCCCTGACCCCCAAGGGGCAGGGGGGGCACCCTCCCTATCCTTCCCTCCTCCCTATCACCTTGTTCCTCACTCTGCTCCAGGTACACAGGCCTTCTTGCTCTTCTCCAACACGCCAGGCCCGGTCCTTCCCCAGGGCCTTTGCATGTGCTGTGCCCTCTGTCTGGACTGCTCTTCCCCCCTGGTACTCCCAGACCTGCTTCTCTTCCTCCTCTGGGTCTGCTCACATGCATCTTCATATGGCCTTGGCTACCCTATTTTAAGCTTTAACTCCCCTCTTAGTAGTCCCAACCATGGTACCTCCACCCCAATACCGCTCTTTTTTTTCTTTTTAGATTTTATTTATTTATGTTAGAGAGAAAGAGAGTGCGCGTGCACATACCTGCACACACACATGCGCAAGAGGGAGAGAGGCGGAGGGAGAGAAGTAGACTCCCTGCTGAGCACAGAACCCGACTTCAGACTCTGTCTATCCCACGACTCGTGATCATGACCTGAGCTGAAATCAAGAGTCAGATGCTCAACTGACTGAGCCACCCCAATGCCACCCTTCACTTTCTAACTCAATACATCACTTACTCAAGGTTATGTTTTTCTCAGTGTGTCCCCCTATCTTGAATGTCAGCTCCATGAAGGCAGGGATGTTCCCAGAAGAGGGAGCAGCTGGAGCAAAGGCCCTGAGGCGGGGGAAGGACGTACAGAGTACCAGCCATGTCGGCTGGAGCTGAATGAGGGAGGGGGGGGCCGCTGGGCGGAAGTGATTAATCCAGGCAGATGGTGGCCTTGGAGGAGCCCCAATCCTCTTACCCAAAGCCCCTAAATACTTCCGCCACGCAGGTCACCTCCGGGCCTCTCTTGCTCCAGGTGGCCATCATGCCGGGGCTGGCAGTCGAGCAGGGGATGGAGGGCTGGAGCCCGGCCCCACCGCTGTATGAGGAGTACCGCCCACCGCCTCTGGATGCCATCCGCCTGCCCAGGTATGCGCTGTACCTGCTGCTGGCGGCACTCCTGGTGGTGGCCGTGGCCTATGCCATTGTGGGGCATCTCATCAAGGACCTCGCCCATGACCTGGCTGGTGAGCTGCTACCCGCCACGAGCCCTGCTTGGGGCAGTGCTGGGCCACTCCGGGGCAGCGGTGGGGGGGGGGGGGAGGGGGAGGGGCGGGATGCAAGGGCCTCTCGCAGCCAGGGAGGGGACAGAGGGTGGATGAGGCCCCGGGAGGCTCCTCACCAGTGTCCTACTGCAGACTGGGCCTTCGGCCCGAAGCCAGAGCAGGAAGACGCCCCTCGGGAACTGTGCTCAAGCCTGGAGGGCGAGGATCTGGAAGAGCTGGACCTGCAGCTGGCCCGGGCCTGGCGGGGTGATGAGGACCCTGGTGGGGGTGGCGACGCAGCCACTGCAGAAGCCCCCGCCCCGGCTCCCCGCCGCCCTTCCATTGCCTTCAAGGACCCACCTGCTCGAAGCTCCTTCTGGAGGCTGGACTGAGCCAGGCCCTGCCCTCTGGCCCAGGACCTGGGTTTGAACCCCTTTGCAGTTGTGTAGACTGGACTTGTGCCCGCTGGATCCATTGCTCCACTGACCTGCCCCGTCTTGGCAGAGAATGTTCTCTTTCTTGGCTGACAGGTTCCAGGGGTTGGTCACTGGCTCTTTCCAGACTCCCGCACCCCCCATAGCCCCAGAGCCTGATTCTGCCCAACCTCCACCAAGAAGAATTTTTCAAAGACTAACAATGGTGGCTAACCCTTACTGAGTGCTTAGTATGTCCCTGCTGTTGTGCTCAGTGAGCCTTTTCCACGTATTACTTCATTTAATCCTCACAGGCCAGGACTTTTCGCCCCCATTTAACACATGGGAACATGGAGGCACAAAGCCCAGAAGTGACTTGTTTGGAGCAGAGAGAACTTTTTGCAGAAAGAGGCCAGTTCCGTGACCTGCCTTCGAACTCAGAATCCCCAAGGCAGGGTTCTGGCCCTGCTCTCCCGAAGCTGCTCCAGCCCCACCTCGCACCTCCTCCCCAGCTCTGCTGCTCTGTCCGCCGGATCTGTTGGTTTCTGGGGGTCCTGACTTCCCAGCTAACCTGAGAAGTCCCGGAGGACAGCGTCTGAGGCTTCGTCCCTCCCTCCTGACCTTGGCACAGACAGGGCACACGGTCGGAGCTTCGCAGGCACCACTCGGGTGGTTGAGATGGGCTTGCTCTGAGCAGGTGCCTGAGCTCCATCACTCTACTGGTTGGCCCCTTGCGCAGTGATGATAGACCTCAGGGAGGCAGGGGGCCCCAGGTATGCATGGGTGCTCCTTAAAGGTGTGTGCAGTGACACTGGTACCCCCCCCCCCAGCCCCCAAGGGCCCTGCAGAGCCCCCCGCCCCCCGGTCGGGGCTTCCTGCCACATGCCTGGGCCGTGGCTGTCCAGTGGCAGCTGGGGGGAGGTGCTCCTTCTCCTGGGCAGGGCTCCCTATCTAATCAGCCAGGGACCAAGGTTGATGGACAGGAGAGCCTGCAGCCTGAGTCATCCGCTCCCTGGGCGTCCCATTCTCCAGCCATCAGGGCGTGGCTGGGTTTGGAGATGGATAGTGGGCCATGTGGCCCATCACTTCTTGTCCCTGTGCTCATCCCCGTATTGGCTGTGGGTCCCCAGGGATCCCTGTGCTCATCCCCGTATTGGCTGTGGGTCCCCAGGGATCTGGGAGCCAGGATGAGGCAGTTTAAGCCGGTGGTGGGGGAGATCTGGGTTCAGATCCCGGCTCCAGCTCTTTGTGCGTGACCTGTGTGCTCCTGGCCTCCTTGGGCTTCTCTGAAAATGGAGACAGAAACATTCTGTGGGGTGTTCAGAGAAGGAGACACAGTGATGCCTGGCAGCCCTGAGCCCAGGCCCATCTTGGCCTGGCCGCTGCGGCACGGAGCCTGGGGCACCTGGAGGCTGGGTCCTGGGGTAGGGCACGGGGTCGGGGGGCTGGACTCCCCGTGTTAATTGTTATACCAGGTCCAGAGTCTGATCTCCGGGTCTGGACCAGCCCCGCCCCTAGGCCCGCCTGCCACTATATCAGGGGCTGGGCAGGGCCTCACCCAGCTGACCTTGACTGTGCACCGCTGCTGGCTCTTCCATGACCATGGAGACCCTGGAGACCCTTCTCCTGCTCAGCGCCCTGCTCCTGTCACCTGCAGAGGCTCAGCGGGGTAGGGCTCCGACCTGGACCTGGGGGGGCCGGGTGGAAGCGGGGGGAGGGGTCGTGGGAGGGGCTCATTCATAGGCTCACCATCTCCCCATTTTTCATGATGAGGAACTGAGACCTCCGAAAGGAGGGGGCAGGCAGAGGAGCAATGGGGCCAGGCCCTTCTTGGAGCCCCCCCCCAGCCCCCACACTCCCTCTGGGCCTCTCTCCCCATCCCTGCGATGCCCCCAGCCCCCTCCCCTTCTCTAGAACTGGCCTCTGACACCCGGCCCCTTTCTAAGACCCCATTGGCTTGAGCATCCCCCAGCAGCCTTCCCCTCTTCCCTTCCGGGGGCAGGCCCCGGCCCTGCCCCATCTCCGAGTCCCATCTGCCCCACCTTCGGACAGCCTCGCAGGATCGCCCGAAGCCCTGGCTGGTGGGCCTGGCTGCCGTCGTGGGATTCCTGTTTGTTGTCTTCATCCTCATGCTGGTCAACCGCGTCTGGTGCTCCGAAGCGAGGTGCGAGCCCCTCTCCCCACTCCGCACAGCTGCTGTCCCTGTCCTGCCCTTCTCCCCAAAGTGTTGGGCACCCCTCCCGCTTCCTGACTCTCTCTGGTCCTTCCCCCCCCCCACCCCGTCTCCCCATTCCCCTGTTCCAGCTCAGACCTCCCCCACCCCCACCTCACCGCCTCTCAGTCCAGGACAACCATGCCGCCCATCTGCCTGGCTTGGTGCAGTCCCTGAGCCCCAGCCAGGGGGGACTGTGAAGGCTACCGCCCGCCCTTCATCCACCTTCACCCCTCTACCTCTGTTTCTCCCGCAGAGCTGAGGACGAGGAGTCCGCATTCAGAATGGAGTCCAACCCGCATCAGGACCTGAGGTACTGCTCGTGTGAGCATGTGTGGGTGTGTGCGGGGTCAGGGGGCTTGTGGGAGCCCCCTCTGGGGGGTGGGAGGGATGGGTGTGCTCTGATGACCCCTGTCTGCTCTTCAACTCCTCAAGCACATTTCTGCCCCGGGGCCTTGCCCATACTGTTCTCTCTGATTGGAACTCCCTTTCCTGTATCTTCTGGCCGGCTCCTCCTTCAGTCCCAGCTCAGATATTTCCTCCTCACAGAAGCCCACCCTGACCACCAGCCTTCCTGACCCTCTGTGTCCCCCAGCTGTGCATTCTTCTTTGCACTTAACCACCAGCTGAAATTATCTGAGTCACTTACCCCTTTCGCCACGCTAGCTGGTAGCTTCCAAAAGACAAGAGAACTTAGCTTTGGTCCTGGCTGTGTTCCCGGTGCTCAGCACGGGGCCTGGCGCACACAGTAGGCCCGTTGAACAAGACCGTGGTGTGGGATTGGCTAGGTGTCTCTGCACGGGCATGTGATCGGGTGTGGGTGACTCTCCTGGACTCCGTGTCTTCTGTGGTCCCGACTGGTTCCGGACACGCTCCTGGTGGAAGGCTCAGGGAGGTGGCAGGGCTGGGGACCCTTTCAGGGCAATATCCCAACTTGGGCAAAATTTGGGGGATGGAACAAGAAGGCAGAAGATGGGAGGCGGCCAGCCTGCCTGGAAGATCCTCAGCCAAGCCCAACAAGATGTACGTGAGGGAGAGGTGTAGGCCCGATAGTTTGCTTCGTCTAAGACCCAGTGCAGCTCCGGTGAAATGTGATTCCCACCGCTGGGATGTGCTGGAAGTTCTCGACCCCACCCATGTTGGTAGTTTTCTCCCTGCCTTGTTCATGCCTTCGTCCATCCATCCATCCAACCATCCATCGTCCATCCATCCATTCTCCGTCCACCTGTCCATCCATGGGATGGTTGAGTCTTAGTGTCTGCCTTTGTGAAATGGAAATAGCAAGGCTTCCTCATGAGGAGTGTTTTGAGGAATTCAACAAAGGTGTAGAACACCTGGCACAGGTACGTGTCAGTTTAATGAGAGTGGCTGCTTCTCACTGTGGTCTGGGCCCTCTGTATCCCTACAGTGAAGAAGGCGAGAGGAAGAGGCAAGGGGACATAAAGGGCAAGAAGTCTGAGGAAGAAGGAGAGAGAAACCTGGGGCTGGAGCTGGAGGAGACAGAGGAGTCCGGAGGTAGAGGGAAAGTCGCGAACACAGCCATGTGAAGCCTCGACACCGACTTCCTCCAGGCAGCCGCCCAGAGATGCCCCTTTCACATCGTGTAAGCGATGATCTGGACGTGAAGCCACCAGAATAACTCCGTGCAGAGCCGAGAATACCGCACGAAGAGGTGTGGACTTGCCCCGCCCCACAGGGAGTGGGGCAGGTGTGCCCTGTGTGCTGCGTCCGTGGGCTTTATGCACCCTCCTTCCTGACTTGACTGCCTAGTGATTCTTCTTGCACTAGGAGCGCGTTCTTGGTTGTGGAGAAACCCCCCCAGCCCTCACCATCTCATGGCTCCACCTACTTCTACCCACCGCCTGATTTCTTTTCCCTCTCCCTGATATCTGTTGGCCAGAACCTCCGCCCCGCCCCCCCCACCCCCCCCACCCCCGTCCCGTCCCACTCAGCCTGGGGACCAACTTGGGGCAGGGAGACCTGCATTAAATTGATAAGAGCCCTTCAGAAGGGCTCCTGTTGTCTCTTGGGACTCAGTTTCCCCCTGGGGGAGGCAGCTTTTGGGGTTGGGGTCACTGCCTGTGCAGGTATGGTAGAGCAGGCTGCACCGTGCCCAGATGCCCTGGGCACACTCAGCCCTCTCCCTGCAATCTTGATTTTGCTGCCCTGAGCCTTGGACTTTGAGCCCCGAGAGTGCCGTATCCTGGGAAATCCTTGCTACCCCACCCCTCGTCTGGGCTCACATGACTCCATTCCCGGGAACTGTGTCCAGGGAGGCTGTGTGCCCCGGGGCTCTGCGCCCCCCTGGGAAGGGACAAGCACTTTCTCCTCCCAGTTTCCAGCCACTCCTTTCACCTCACTTTTTCCGGGCCCTGGACCTTGCCCTGGATATTAACCATTTCTTAATAAGGACCTTGATAAAAGCTGGCATTCGGGCTGGGTTCTGGGGCAGGTCGCTGGGGTTGTTGGGTGTAGGATGTAACCCCCAAGGCTGCTAGAACACTTCCAGGGTAGTCCACCAGGGGGGTGGAAAAAACATAAACAAATGAAATCAAGGTACTACATGGCCTCACAGATGCTCCCAGGGAGCGCCCAGCATCTTGATCCTCAGTCTCCATTAGTACACAGTTAGTCCCATTTTCCAGCTGAAAATACTGAGGCGTAGAGAGAAAGATGCCACTGGCCAGGTGTCGAGGGTGCTCTTGTCAGAGCTGGGATGAAGCCCAGGCTGCCCAAACGATGAGGGAGTTTGTGGGCTCTGGCTAAGGTCAGATTTGGAGGTTAATGTCCTAGGATGGGAGAGGGTTGGAGCGCCAGGTGTCCGTTCCTGGCTGTGGTTCCTCGCTGGGGGAATGGCGTCCCTCTGGAATGCTGTGCGGCCCCCGGGGAGGTAGCCCCTCATCTGCAACCTGAGGACAAGAGTGAGAAGGCTTGAAGCAGGTGCTGGGGCTTAAGCACCATTGCAAGGCCTGACGCATAGTAGGTGCTCAGGAAACGCGTTCCCCACCTTTCCTGAGCCTCTCCCATGGCTCTGGCTGTGGGGAGTGAGGACGCCAGGGTGGGCCTCTGGGAGACAGGGTGCTGGGATGCTCGGGACGCCGGGCCCCTCCCCAGCATACCCAGAATCCAGGCAAGGGGGCCCCACCCCCCACTTCCTGTGGCACTGGCCACACCCTGCCCTGGGGTGTCCGGGGCGGGCCACTTCCTCCTCTAATGGGGTGGCACCCCAGACCCCGCCGGAAAGAGGCCAGGACAGACGGACAAGGATGGACAGATTGCCGATGACTGCTGGCCCAGTCTCCCTTCTGGCGTCTCTGGTCCCGCGGCCGGTTCAGGCCCAACCCTGTAAGGCCTCGGGAGGGAGAGGAGGTGGGAAGGGAGCCCCCAGCTGGTGGCCCAGCCGCTGACCCCGCCGCACCCTGCCCGCAGCGGCCCAGAGGAAGCCGTGGCTGGTGGGGCTTGGGGCCGTGCTGGCCGCCCTCTTCCTCATCTTCGCCCTCATCATGGTCTACGCCATCTGGTGCAGCCAGTCCCGCGACAGGTGGGCCCCCCTCCTGTGTGAGTCCCTCCCCTGCCGAACCCGCTGGGGCTCGGAGCCCCTCCCCTTTCCTCTCCTCTCTGAGCCTTGGAGGAGGCAGGGCCAGGGGGCAATTCTTTGATTCAGACCCAATGGGGCCTCCTATAACCTCACTGACTTCCCTCCTGACTCCCTACGTGAAAAACGAGGTGGTTTCCCTGAGACCCCATCACTCATGTGTGTTTCAGATGGGATCCCTAACGTCCTTGTCACCTCCCCTCAAGCCCCACGCATTTATCCCTCCCTCCCTCCGTCCGTCCATTCCTCTGCGTGTCCATCCCGCTGTCTGCGCCTCTGTCCACCTTCCCCCCACCCCGCCCGCATGTCCACCTGTTCATCCGTCCGTCCATCCGCTCACTCACCGAGCCACCCATCGATCGATCCATCTCCCCACCTCGCTGCCTGTTCCCTCGCACACAGTTCTGAGACCCGGGAAGCCGGGAAGGCCAGATGTGAAGAGGTGGGTTCGGGCTCCCGTAGCTCACGCGTGAGCTCCCCGCACTTCCTTCTTGTTCAAACAGGGCAGGTGTCCTAACCTGTCTGAGCCTCAGCACGGCTTCCGCACAATGGGAACGACGAGAATGCAGGACTCAGAGGTTCTGGGGGGATCGCAAGAGGCCTGGACACTGTAACTCCTTATTAAGTGAGGTTTTCTGGACACTTCTTGTCTCCACAGCAAGAAAGAGAAGGAAGAGGTGACCACGGGAGAGGAGGAGAAAGAAACAGAGGGCAATGGGGGGCTGGAGCTGGATGAGAAAGAGGGGCCTCCAGACCACGAAAGAGTGGCGAGCTCCTCTGAATGAAGTCGTCCCACCTGCCTCCTCCAGGCAGGCCTCCCGGGGACGCCCAATGCCTGCTCTGCACCCTACAAGCAAAGACCTGGTCCTGGGGCCAGCAAAATTATTCCATGTGGGGTTCAGGTGAAGTGTCCCTGAAAGAGGAGCGCTCAGGCCCTACCCCAAGTAACCCCCTTTGCCTTTACCTGGGCATTTTTACACCCCCTTCCTAAGCACCCCCTCCCCCTTTGAGCCCGGAAGAGATCTGGTGGGGGCAAGCCATGCAAAGGCCCTGCAGTGTTTTCCGGGCCCCAGAGCAGGTCCAGCCCTCGGGCTGTCTTGCTTTTGTTTTGTTGCTCCTGGGCCTGAACTTCGGGGGGCGGGCAGCACGTGGCCGTTTCCTGGGAGCCAGGGGCCCTCCCACCGCGCGCGCTGGTTTTCTAGTCACTGTCTGCTAGCTGTGCCTGGGTGCGGGTGCTGAGGGTGGGAGGAGACGGCGTCCTCACTCCCTCTGACCGTGCTGCACTCCTGCGGGCGGCTGCAGAGAAGGCTTGAACTCCAAGCGTCCATGCTGTGTGGCCCTAAGCATGTAACTTAACCTCTCTGTGCCTAAGTGTCTTGTCCTGTAAAAGGGGGAGGACAGTAACTTGATCCTTTCTAAGTTGTCATGAGGATTAAATGAAATACTGTCCACAAAAATCCCGAGCACAGAACCCCCGGAACCCAAACGGTGTCTAATAAATGTCAGCTTTTTGTTATGCTGAAACGGTGTGGATGGGGCCCAGTGCATGCGAGCCCCGCCCCCTCCCCAGGCCTGGGGGATCTAGAAGGGCACAGTGTGCGTGTTCAGACTGCGTCTCTGGCGCCCCCGCGTCCTCTGCCTCTGGTCCGTGGGTTCGGATGGGGGGTCCGGAGGGTCCGGAGGGTCCGGGCATGGGGCGGCGCTGCGGTCGCGGGGGGGGGGGGGGGGGGGGGGAGAAGGGCGGGGCTGTGTGACTCCTCCCTTTCCGCGGGGCGAGACTTCTCCCCTAGGGGCGTCTGGAAATTGTGGGGGTAGTTTTTGGCTGTCACAAGCGTGCCCCCCCTTTTAGGGCATTGAGTTGGGGGCCCAGGGATGGCAAACAGCCTGCAGTGTTGGGACGGCCCCCCAAAGCCAAGAACTGCAACACTTCAGGGGCCAATGTCTGAAAAACACGGAGGCTTACCTTGAGATCGAGGGCCAGACTGCTGCCCACCCCGACCCAGGCTTACCGCCCACCCCGACCCGGGCTTACCCCCCACACCGGCTGAGCCCCCCAGCCCTGACTGACCCCCTACCCCGGCCGAGGCCCCCACCCCTGGTTGAGCTCCTTAGCCCTGACTGACCCCTAACCCTGGCTGAACCCCTCAACCGTGGCTGAATTCCCGACCCCTGGTTGAACCCCCATCCCACCTGAGCCCTTACCGCATCTGAGCCCCCACAACAGGCTGAACCTTCACCCCGCAGAAGAAGCTCCTGCTATCGCCCCCTTTCCCGCTGCGGGAAGGGGCTGGAAGGCGGGGATTGGGGTGCAGGTGGTTGGGGGCCCTTCCCCCCAAGCCCCGGCTTCTGGGTCCAGATCCTCGTCCCGTCCACAAGGGGGCGCCAGAACCGCGCTGCTGAGGGCAGAAGCACCCAGCCCTGCTGGGGATGGGGCGTGGGAAGGGAACGCGCGGGATCTGGGGGGCCTAGGACCTCCTCCCCCGACGACTGTCGTCTGTTCCTGTCCGGGCGGCGGCGTGGGGCAGTGCATCTGTGTGCAGCGTAGGGCACTGTGCCTGGGTCCCTCTGAGCGTCTTGTCTCTCTGCCTTGGTAACCCCGTCAGTAAAAAGGGACATAATCGTCCCTCCTGGGTGGGTCCGTTGCAGTGTGGGAGGAGCCTGTGCAGTAGAGAGCTTTGCTTGCCCATCCTGGTGTTCCTTGGAGGTCTCTGGGGGACTTGGAATGGGGGTAGAATGATGGGCCAGGACTCGCCGATCCCAGCCCCCCCCCCAAGACAGGGAAGTGACTGCCCCTCACACGGGCAATGCTCCTGCGCTGTAAGCCTCCCTCCTCTCTGACCCCAGCCTCTGAGAAGCCCCCCTGGCTGCCGGGGTTGGAGGAGGGACTGGACAGGACCGGCCTGACGGATCAGGGCTGCGGCGGGACCGATGGGGGGCCGGGAGCTGGGAGGCTGAACAGGGGCTTTGCCCAGGCAGGTGGGGAAGGCCTCCGGGATGAGAGGTTGTCATAATGAAGTCAGGTCCTGCCGTCCTTTGCCCGCAGCACTCCAGGGCTCCCACCTCCCTGGGGTAAAAGTCCAGGTCCTCCCCGAGGCCCACAAGACCCTGCAGGACCTGCCCCATCCCCTCCCTGTCGGGTCCTCCTCCCCTGGTGCCTTACTCTGCTCCAGTCACACGGGCCTCCTGGCCGTTCGTCCAACTTGCCAGGCAGGGTCCTACCCCAGGGCCTTTGCACAGTCTGTGCCCTCTGCCTGAAACACTCATCTGTCAGATCTCCAGGAGGCTGTCTCCCTCATTCTATTCGTCTCTGTTTAAATGTTACCTCATGTGACACCCCCTCTCCTATCCCTTACTTTGCTTTACTTCTTTGGCACTTACCTCCTCTGATATGTATTTTACTTATTTTTATTGTTTACCATGCATCTTCCCAATTTGGAACTGTAAGGGCTATGAAGGCAGGTTATTTTGGGCGTTTTGTTCCCTGCTGTGTCCCCAGTACTTGGTACTCAGCAGATGCTCAGGAAATCTTTGCTGAATGAATGGGAGTTTGCCAGGTGCAAAAAGAGGGAAAGCACTCTGTACATTTATGGAGCACCGACTGTGTGCCAGGTTCTGTCCTTGGGAGCCGGGGGGGGGTGGGAGGGGGGGAGGCAGAATTTCTTGGCACAGAGCAGGTGCTCCATAGATGCCCATGGAGTTTGTTGATTGAAGACCCTGGGGAGATCTGAGGCTGGTCGGGGAGGAAGCTAGACTGGGGAAAGGTGGGCCGGCCTCCTGGAGGAAGAGGGTGTCGTTGTGGGAGCTGAAGGGTCTGCGTAGAGTGGGGAGGCAGTGATGAGCAGCAGAATAGCAGGGGCCAAGGTTCAGGGGTGTGAAATGGCCCCTCGTAGGGGCGGGGGGACCATTGGAGCACCGGGGGCACTGCAGGAAGGACCTGGACCCAGAGCTCACCAAAGTCAGTGTGTAAAGCAGGTCCCTCCCATGGGCTCTGCGGACACAGACATGGGGCCAGATCGCTCTCTGCAGGGGCGCCCTGGATGCCGTGGGGGGCTGCACAGCACCCCTGGCCCCAGTCCTCAATACCAGGAGCACCCGTGTCAACAAACATCCCCGGGCACTGTGGAGGGTCCCTGGGGGCCACTGGATGGACACAAAGGTCTCAGCCCCTTCCCTTCACTCTGGCACCGAACAACCCACACAGCACAGAAAGGAGGACCCAGGACAGTCAGTGAGAGTCGAAGCATAGCTTGTTTATTTTATACATTTTTTCTTCCTTCTTTTGTCTTTTTTTTTTTTTTGCTTTTTATTGAATCTTTTATGGAACCCCCCCTTGTTTCTTTTTTTTTTTTTTGCATAGGGAAACAAACAAACAAAATAGTAACAGCCAGAGTCACTTTCTGTAAATGGTACTTAGGTAGGCGCGTCTGCAAAAACCGAAATGACTGCGTAATATACAAGGTTATGACCAGAGTATGCTGTGAGGGGGGCAGGCGGGCGAGCCGGGCAAGGGAGGGGTCCGGCTGGTCTGCCAGGCGTCCCCCCAGCCCCCGGCCCGGAGGGAAGGGGGCGGTGGGCAGCAGACCCAGCTCGGACCTTCTCCTGACCTGGGTTCACGAGCATGGGGTGTGTGTGTGTGTGTGTGTGTGTGTGTGTGTGTGTGTGTGTGTGTGTGTGTGTGTGTGTGTGTGTGTGTGTGTGTGATCCGGTGTGTGTGGCAAGCAGGAAGCGAGAGACAGAGTAAACTATCCTGGTAATATCAGTAAAATACAAAATGGGGGGGAACCTCAAAAAATATCTTGGAGGGAAAAGAATGAAAACGAAGAGCAACACCACCAAAAAGTTTTTCAAAGAGCGAAAGGAAGGAAGGAAGGAAAGAAAAGGAAAGAGAAAGGAAACTCAGTCAGGTGGGTCTCTGTCCTTCCCCCTGCGCTGTGCGCTCTGTCCCTCAGACTCTCTCGTCTTCCCCCCTGTGGGGTCCTGGGGGGTGGGAGGGCAGGAAGCTGGGGGCAGAGGCCAAGACCCCCGAATCTGAAGGGACTTTGGTTTTGGAGGCCTGGCTGGGACCCAAGATGGGAGGATGGGGCGTTGATGCATTTGGGGAGTAGATTTTGGGGGTTCCCACGGGAGGGGGCTGGGACAGCTCCCGTCCCCTTCCCGGGGGTCCCCTTCTAGCCAGGAGGTGTGAATGGAGGGCTGTGGGGAGGGCAGTAGCTCGGGGGTGCGTGACTTCCTTCCTGTCTGGCCCTGACTCCTGTTGGATCCCACCTCCTCCTTCCTGAGGCCTGGGAGGGGGGCCCTGGGGAACAGGGGAGGAGAACCCCAAAGCCACACCAGCAGACAAGTGAGGCACTGCTTGGGAAAAGTCTTGTTTTGGTATCGCTGGCAACAAGTCCCACTGGTACGGCTTTGGGTCTGGCTCCCTGCCTCGCCTGGGGGATGCGGGGGGTGGGGGGGTGCCAGCGCGGGGACAGCCCGACGGGGGAGGCCGGGTCAGTTCAGAGGTGGGACTCTCACGTGCCCAGAGGGGCAGAAACGGGGAAATATGGGGGCGTGCGGAGGAAGCTGGATGTGAGGACGGATCTCTGGGACCTCTCTACCAACACCCTCCGCAAAGAAAAGTAGAAACCAGGGTCTCAGGGAATCCGGGTCAAAACAAAAAGTAGCCCCTGTATAACCTGTATTATGAGAAAAAACTCCAAAATTATATATATTTATACATATGTGTGTGTGTGTATAGTATAGCCCTGCACTGGAGCTCAAAGTACCGCGGGAGAAGCCGGAGGGGGGAGAGGGCCCGCGAGCGACATCGCGGAGCGCGGAGCTGCTCCTAGCGCCAGGCTCCCGCCTAACTGGCTGCCGGCCCCGGGGACAGATAGAGGGTTCCAGAGCAGAGACGAGGGTGTGTGGGGCTGAGGCTGGAATTGTCTGCTGCCTGGGGGGTGCAGACAGCCCCGCACGTCTCCTTCGGGGTTCCTCTTGGGTCTGATTGTCTAGCTCAGGGTGGGGGGCCGGGGTCTGGGTTCAGAACTCGGCAGGAGCCCGGGTGGCGGACCCAGGCCTGGGGGCCCCCTGACCCCCTTCTCCTCAGTCAGACAGGGCCGGGTCTTCCCGCCCCTCCACACCTCCTTTTCCACTCTGGTCAGGATCGCATGCTCTCATCCCAGAGAGGCGTGAGGACAACTTGCATATATCTGGGAGGCCTCTCTGTTCTGTTCCGCAGCAGAGCTGGACCCCAGGGTCAGGTGGGTGGGGGGCCTCCCGTGGGTGGTGGGGGGCAGCAGGCGTGGGAGGGGATGGGGTTTGAGAACATGTTAGTCTCACACATGTAAGAAACAACACAGCGCCCTGTGCGCCCTGCCCCGTGCCTGGAGCACCAACCCGAACTGCGGAGCTGGGGAAGGGGGAAAGGGGTCTGGGTCCTGGTGTTTCCGCCTTATTCTGCCTGCAGCCTTTCCTGGGGGGCGGGGGGGGCACACAGGCCCAGGGCGGCACCACCTACTCAGCGGGGCACACAGCTGGGGGTGGGCTGCGGAGGGACAACGTGGTCCCCACGAAGTCCTTGGGGAGGGGTCCCGGGCGGGATGCTCCCCCCTCCCTGGGTGTCTGCTCCCCAATTCTGGGGGGAAGAGAATAAAACCCAGAAACCTGCCGCATGAAACATGACATGCAGGACCTTGAGCTCTCGGACCAAAGGACAGTTCTTAGGGGCGGGCGCTGAGAGCGGGATCTGCCCCCCGGGGCTTGCGGAGACCTCTTTTTCAAAAGAAGACATGGGAATGTGTGCTGGTGGATGGAAGCCAGGCTGCCCGCGGGGCCCCTCCCTGCTCTGGGGGGCGACCATCTGCCCGCCACAGGAGATGCGTGGGGAGCAGGAGCTGGATGGACCCAGCCCTCGGACACCCCACTAACCGGCTGCTACTGTCTCAGCTTTGGTCGAGTAAAAAGCAAAGGAAATTGGAAGAGAGAAAAAAAAAAAACAACAAACCCAACAACAAAGAAAGGAAAAAACAGAAAGGAAGCAAAAGGTTAAGAGGACGAGCGTGAAATCGAGGACAAGACAACAGTTTGGGAGCAGCCACCGGACGGAGGCCCCTGCCCAGGGGCCAAACCCCGCGCCTGCGGGCCCCTGGCTGGGCCTGCGGTGGCTGAGCTAGGTCTATAGGGACAGACAGACAGATATTGCATATATTGGGTTTGGCTTCTGTTTGCTGTTTCATCCCAGATAACCCCCCCCAGTCACAGCTGGAAGACAGAAGTGGGTGCTGGGGGCAGGAGGGGAGCGCCGCCCCAGGCGGGTCTCCAAGGAGGGGGGGGTGCCCGGCGAGTCCTTTGGCAAGAAGGAAGGGGGGCCTGGGGAAAGGAGGGGAGCCTGGGGGGCGGCAATGTGACCCTGAGCCAGGGGGACGTCAGCCTGCAGGAAAGGTGGCATGGGGGAGTCTGGCTGGAGGCAGGATGGCCACCCCATGGGGCCAGGGCTCACCCCTGAGGTCTGTCCCCTGCTGTGGGCGGGGGCCTCGGAAGGGACTCCTCTGGAGCCCAGGGGTGGGGCTGGGGATGGCAGAGCACCAGGGCGCACCCCCACTGCAGCAGAGCTGTGGAGACAGAGCTGGGGGTGGGGGGCAGACCATGGGGCGATTGTTCTGTGGATTGCTTTTCTAAGCACGGGATTTTCCTTTTTTTTTTTAATTCTTATTTTTTTATTTTTTATTTTTTTACAAATAGAAATACATCCCTCTTCAATTTTTATTTTTTATTTCATGTCATTGTTTTGTCTTTTTGTTTTTTTTTTTTTAACTACACGAGCAGTGCATGCAGCTGTGTGCGCTGATATTGTTTAAAGGTAATACTTATTTTCGGAAGGCAAGGCACATCATGTGGTAGAAAATTTCGTGCAAATTAGGAAACATGGAGTTTTTTTAAGGTTTTTTTTTTTTTCTTTTTTTTTTTTTTTTTTTTTTTTTTTTAAAGAGGAGCGGGTAGTGTCAGAGGGCTGGGGGAGGGCTGGGGGAGGGAGATAGAGCCAGGTATAATTTGCCATGCAGTATCAGCTGCGGCGAGCTGACATCAGGAGCCAGGTCACAGGAATCCCCGACTAAGCACCATGCAAAGTTAGGTAGCTGGGGGCCGCCAGGTGCCCCTCCCCTACCCCGCCTGCCCGCACCCTAAGGTTCCCGGCTGAGAAGCTTCCGGATACCCCAACTGCACGACCCACCCCCTCCTGCCCTCCCGGAGAGCGGCCCATGCTTTGGTCCCCAACAGCCACCCAGTGGAGGGGGCCCTGGGGACAGACGGACGGACCAAGGGTTTTTGAATGCCTCTGGACAATGGGAGGGGGGTTGGTGGGGAAGGGTCTTTCTCTTATGGTTGAGTTTGCCAAGCCCCTTGGGATGGTTTGGGAGGAAAGTCCAGTTTCTGGGGAGGTGGGAGGAGGCTGGCCAGGCCTGGGGTACCAGGAGAGGGCCAGGAGGGCCAGGTTTGGGAGCAGATGAGGCGGAGGCCCAGCCCAGGGTGATGGCTTTGGCCAGGGGGTGGGGGCTCTTGGTGGGGAAGGTCTTCCCCAGGGCCAGGCATGGAGAAGGCCGGCTGGGACTCAGATGGATGGGATGGGAGGGGATCCCCCCTCCCAGGCCCCCCACCCAAGATGGCCATCCTGGGGTGGGGGTGGGGATGGGGCCAGGGAGCCGGGGTTGGGGGGCACCCGGTGTCCCCAGCTTAGTGTTTTTGGAGCGGCTCAACGGAAAACGTTTAGCAGATGGGAGATCCCCCACATGGCGACAGGGGACCCCCCCCCCCAGGCGCTGACCCCACCCTCCCCCAGCCAGAACCCTCCAACCCCATCCAGGCTTGTACGGACTGCAGTTGCCCGGCCTTCTTTCCTTGTGGGGGCCCAGCTGTGATGCACCTGCCCGGCTGTGCCCCACTTCGGCGGGGGAAGATGAAAGTGCAAACCGTGGCCCCCCTTTGGGCTGGGAGGCACCAGGGAGGGGGTGTCGCTCCAGGATGTAAGGCACTGGCAGAGGAGGCGAGGGAGGGCCTGCTGGCTTCCCCAGACCCCACCCCCGTGCCCGAGCGCAGCAGGGCTTGAGGGATGCCCAGCTCTGCCCCTTGGGCCAACTGTAGGGGGGTCCCATCTCTCCAGCTCTGAGGGGAGCACAGTAATGAGGGTCAGCGACTGGAGGTGGCCGGGTTGGGGGAGGGAATGGAAGGGGCCCGCGGCCACTTCCCATTCCAGCGGGACAAAGGGGGGCGGGTGGTGGGAATCAGGCACTTAAACCACTCGCTCTCACCTCCCCCCTCCGTGGGCTAAGCGGGGGGTCCTCCCCTCCCAGGGCTCGGGTGGATGGAGGCTCCGGACAGGGTGTCCCCTCCTGGGGAGCTCTGAGTCTCTCCACTCCCCCCAGCCCCTTCCTCGGAAAGTGCATTTCTTACAGTGTGTGCAACGTGGGTCCCTCCCCTGGGGGGTGTGGAGCAGGGCCAGTGGGGTGCGGGGTGGGGTGGCCTCCTATGCTGTGGGGTGGAGCTGGGGTCAATTGCATAGAGACTTCTCCTCCCAAACAGGGCAGGCACGGGGCTGCAAGACCAAGTCCCGAGCAAGCCCGGCCGAGCACGCACGCACACCGTGGGGCAGGCGGAGGTCCCACGGCAGCAGGACGCTCCTGACAAAGTTTCTGCCACGCATCCCAGTCCCCTGGCGACACCCAGGGTCTCCCCACAACCCTCTTCTGCCCTTGTCGCTTCCCTGCCCACCTGGGCCTCCACTGCCCGCCGCTGGGGTCCTTGCCGGCCCCCCCCCCCGCGCCCCAGCATCCCCATGGCGCCCACCTCCCCACTCGGCAGACACGGTGGCGGAGGCCTGGCTGACATCCCGGCAGTGGGGGCACGGGGAGAGGTGGCCTTGCCGGGTGTCCCGCCCCGTGGGGCCTGGGCAGGGGCACCGGTCCGCGCTCACCTGGTCCTGGGCGGAGGCGGGGAGCGGGCGCCTGCCCTTGGAGACCAGCAGCCAGAGATGAGTCCCTGCGGAGGGTGCCCTGCGCAGGCTGCGTCCGAGCGGCGGCAGGGCCTGGCCCTCCGGTCCGGCCGCGGCGTCCCGAGAGTTTTGAGGGGCTGCTGTCTTTACCTTTTGTCTTCTTGGATGGGTGGGTTTATTTTTATGGTGTTTTTTTTCCGTTTGTCTTTTTTTTTTGCCTTTTTTTTTCTTTTTGCTTGTTTCCCTCCTGTGTATATATGTCTGTTCTGTCTTTTCGGCCAGGCTGGGAGTCGGCGGGGTGTTCTTGCTCGCTCTAACTTTCCACTGAAAACGTGGGCCAGGGGCCGACAGTGCGGCCCCCTGGGATTCCCGCGACGAAGGAGCAGGGCGTGGGAAGAAATCTTTCTTATCCCAGATACCAGGACTGGGTACCCGAGAGGGACACACGGAGAGAGGGGGGGGAGAGAGAGAGAGAAACGGGGGTCAGGCTCCACCATCGACTGTACTGGCCACTGCCCGCACCCGCCTCCTGGGGGCCCCTGTCCCCGTCCCAGACGTGTCATAACCTAGAGGACCCTGGACAAGGCTGCTGGATGAAACGCAGGGTGCCTGGGGACAACTGAATTCTGGAGAAACCACAGGGAAACCCGTACGCTGCGCAACTTCTGGTTATATACGTATGCTGAGACAATTTTTTCAAACTTCTTTTTATCTCTTGTTTATCTGGACTTTAAATCTATCCGAGCATCCTGGAGTTTTTGTTTACAACCAGGTCTCTGCGCCTCGGTGCCCTGAGTCTACAAGGATGGAGAGGATGTGGCTCTACCCCGGGCTTGCCTCCACTGGCGGAGTCGTTACGAAGTGCCACCTTGTTCAAGCACGGCGACCAGGGCTGTTTGCTTTCGTTTTTTAAACAAATGTTTTCCCATTTAAGGATCCCCGCCCCCCCCCCGATTCCACATGAAGGAGGGACTATGCCCCCCACTACCCTGTTTCAAACCGAAGAAAATACGGGCTCAGAGAAGTCAAGGAATTTGCCTAAGACCACCAGCACAGGGGGCCAGAGTGGAATTCCAACTTGGGCCTGCCTCGTTCCAGCCCTTGCTTGGCCCCTGCCCAGGTCTGACCTCTAGCCTGTCCCTTGAGGGGTCACAACCTCCGCTTCCCATAGGGGGCCTGGGGCTCAGGCTCAGGGACAGCTCCAGCCTGGGTCTCCACAGGGAAGCCGCTGTACACGCCCTTTCCCTGGACATGCGTCCAATCCACCTGCGCGGGGCCGGTCTGGGGACGCCCCCTGACTGAGGCTGGAGCGGCGCTGTCCCTCACCCCTGCTGTAAATCAACTGTGCCCCTCCAACCAGGCTGCCCCGTGGGCCATCCCAATGAACTGGCGCCCTGGCTCCCAGCCCCCACCTCCAGCCAAGTTCAAGTTCATCTTGGCCATTACCTCATGTCTGGTTTCTGCTGGCAACCAGACAGACTCTGGGCGTGACCCTCCCCCATGGTGGCCTCCCCTCAGCCCTTCCTCCTTCCTCCCTCACAGGCCTCTCGTCCCAGTAACTTAACACCCTCCCCTTCAGCTGAGGGAGGGGGAGGCTGCTGGGGGTGCTGGAGGCGGGGCGGTGAGGCCCCGGCTCTGGACTCCCCCTGGCCTGGCTGGAGCCATCAGTGTGGCTCTGGCATGTGGCTTAGCCCCTCTGGACCTTGGCTTACTCATCTGCTGCATGGGTGTCATGTGCTTCTGGGCAGAAGGGATCCTGGTATAGAACGCTCCACGGCGGTGGGGGGGGATTCCATCACATCGGAGAGGGAGCAGAGGTGTACGGGCCCATGGATCCCCACTCTGGGGACCAAAGTGATGGATGGCTCAGGACTCGGGGGGACTGATGGGGGAGATGAAGAAAGTCGGTAACTGACCAGGGGGAGATCAGTTGAACTGACCAGGGTCGGGGGCACCCAGGGGGGAGGGGCACTGCTGGGGGAGGGGATGCTGACGGGGGAGGGGGCACTGCTGGGGGAGAGGAAGACAGAAGATGGAAGGTGTGGGGAGGGGAAGAAGCTGCTGTCGGCTGTGGGGGTGGAACTGGGGGGCCAGAGGAGAGCAAACCTCCCAGGAATAACGAAGGGGAAGGCAGAAGTGCGGACTGGGTGACACGCGGGAGGCCTCTGGGCTCTGAGCCCTTCACATGGGGGCTCCAGGAGCGGGGGGAGCAGGGTCTGCAGGGGGCAGCGAGGGTGCGCCTGACCCACTAGGGAACTGGGGCCAACCGTCCCACTGACGGCAGCGCTGCCAGGGGCTCCCCCAGAGCTGCCCTCCCTATTCACCCAGATTGGGGTCTCCCCTCTCCCACAGCCCAGGCCCCTTGGGAGCCTCTCACCAACCTGGCATCTCCCTTCCATGTCCCACGTGCCCCAGCAACACCAGCCCCAGAAAGCTCTTTCTCACTCCCGGGTCTGGCTGTACCCCTCTCCCCCTCACTCAAAACCCTTCCATGGCTCCCCATGGCCCCCAGGACAAAGCCCACATTCAACTGTTTCTCCAGCCTCTGTCAGTGCCAAGCCCCCTGCCTGGGCACCCCTGGCCTGCTCCTCTGCTGGCCGGCCTTTGTACCAGCCCCAACCCCTTCCTGCCCGGGCAGGGGGTTGGGTGCCCCCTCCCCAAGGTTCCTCCACACCAGCTGGGGCCCACTGGCCAAGAGGGGGCCATGAGAAGCACGTAGAACCAAAGTACGCCCTGGCCTGCCTCGGTCCCCTTCCTCTTTCAGGACGTCTGCTGGGGGGAGGGACCCCCATGTAGAGGTTGATAATGCAGAGGTGAGGCAGGGGGCTGGGGGCCCGGAGAAGAGTTAAGCAGGCAAGGCCTCCTACTGGTCACTGTGTATTACCTTTGGTTTCTGAAGCAGTTAGGACATTCCCAGCCTCCCCCTGTGGGGGGGGGGGATATGGGGTAGGGGCAGGAGAGGAAAAGCAAGGCTTCAGAGCACTGGGGAGTAGGAGTGTCCATGCTGGGACTGACAGAGGGTGGCCACGGGGTACCCAAAACCCAAAGAGGGGAGTCCTGGAGTTGCCCCAGCTTGCTGGGCACCCTGACCAAGCGATTCCTGTCTGGATCCTGGCTGGAGCTTCGCAAGGCAGAACGCTTAATATTTGGGGTTTGCAAGGGTATACGGGGCAGTCTCTTTGCCTTTGGGTGCCCTTTCTAGATAAAACTGGTCCCTGAAGGAATGCTCCCCCTGGGAGGTGTGTGAGGCCAGAAGACGAGATGGAGGTTCAGAGTGGGTAAAGCAGTGCCAGGCGTGAGCCCTGGCCTCCTGGCCCCAGGACTCACTGCCGAGGCCCGGGCAGGGAGGGAGAGCAACGGCCTCCCCGTGGCCCCTGCGAGCCAGCAGCAACCAGGTCTGCCCAGGACGGTCCCCAGCTGGTTCTGGTCTTAGCTGAGGCCGGGGGGGACGCAGCCACCTCTCCGGCTCCTCCTCAATCCCTGCCCACGCCCTGCTGCAGGAAACCCTCCCCCAGCTACTGGAGGGACCACTTGTGGCCCCGGGTCCCAAACGCCCATGCTCTGTGGCTCTGGTGATCTGGAGATGCTGGGGAGCCCCGGGCTTCTCCCTCTGCACATCTGGGCACTGGAGAGCCTGCAGTGCCTGGCACTGCCTTTGGGCTGTTTGACATCCTATAACCCCCTCCCCAACACATACTGGGGAGCGGGGGCTCCCAAATCCAGCCCCCACCTGCCAACACACTCCCAGCCAGCATGCAGCACAGACTCCGACCCCCACCCTGCTTGGGAGGCTGAGAGCCACGAGTCTTAGTTCTGGACCCATCAGGGCTCTGCCCTCCACTGCTGTGCAGCCTCAGGCAACTCGCTCCTCCTCTCTGAGCCTCCTGGTCTGGTCCCCGGCCCCTCCCCCTCGCCTGGCCCTGGTGCACCCTTGGCACCCCTCCCCCTCGCCTGGCCCTGGTGCACCCTTGGCGCCCCTCCCCCTCGCCTGGCCCTGGTGCACCCTTGGCCACAGTTATGCCGACTCCGCCTCCACAGCTCCCCTCTCCACATCTCGGACTGCAGCCTGGGGTGGGGGTGCACGGGCTCTGCTGGGAGGCCCCACCCCCGGCCATGGGCTGCCTCCGCTTCCCCAGCTGCCGCTGGAGTCCGAGAGTCCACGGCCACCCTCTGTCTCCCTTTTTCGTGCTCCCTCTGGCCAGCAGCATGGAAGGGGACAAAGGCTGGGGGTCATAAGCTTGGGCTGACGTGCTGTGTGATCCTGGGCAAATCCCCTCGCCTCTGTGGGCCTGTCTTCCCATCTGTACAAATGGGCCTGGGGTGGTAACAGCCCCGGCCTCGCGGCAGCTCTGTCGTGAGTGTCTCCCGCTGGGAAGTGGCAAGCGGGGTTGGGGGCCGTACCACGTCCCCGGGCACGGGCTCGAGGCCCTGGAAGGGTACGGGGAGCCGGCCCCCCTGCCATGCACAGGGGCCACCGTGCCAGGGGTGCAGCTGGAGGGATGGCATGGGACCAGCAGGCCGGCCTCTCCCTGTGCACCCAGGCGGGGCCCTCTGCCCTGCCCCTCCCTGCCCCCCACCAGCCGGCCTCTCGGCCCCTACCTGTGCCTGATAAATGCCCGCTGGATCCCTTGGTCCTAATCCCACAAAGGAACGGTTTGCAGGGGACGTGCCGGGCGTAGAGTAGGCTGCGGGGAGGAGAGAGACCGAGAGCCCGTTAGCGAAGGGGGCTGTGCGGGAGCACCCAGAGAGGGTGGCCGCTGCCCAGGGTCACACAGCCGGGCCTTTGCACCCAGCACCCGGCGCCTCCAAGCTTGCTGCCCTCCCCAGCCGATCCGGGCACCCCGGGAAGCCCACAGTGTCGGGCCCTGGGGTCACACAGGCGGGGCATCTGCTGAGACGGAAGGCACAAGATGAAAGATTCATCATCAGAAACCGCCTGTGAATTATTCAGGGTGCTTCGCTGCCTGCTCCAGCCGCTCCCGCGGCCTGCATCCCGTGCGTGGCGCCATGAATTATGGAGGGCGCTTTATTTATTAATCTTCCTCTTGGAGACTGTGCAGGGAAGGCCGGGTGTTTGCAGACACACGCACACACACACGCATGCGTGCACACGTTTATATTTATGTTTACATTTAGAGTCAGATTTTCATCCCACCAGTTACGTTTTGTTGGCAAGTGAATAATTCGCAGCCCATGGCTGCCGGGGAGCTTGGGGGCCTCAGCCAGGCCGTGCCCGGGGTGGCGGGAGGGTCCCTGCGTCCCTGCGTGGGATCAGCCAGGCTGGGGAAAGTGGGGGGCACGGGGGTCGGGGGCAGGCTGCGCGGGCCGTTAGAACCGGGTGCAGGAGCAGAGGGAATTCCTGGGCCCGTGGACCTGCAGAGGCCCCCACCTAGCAAACGTGAGGATCACTCGCATTTTACAGACGGGAGAGTGGGCGGAGCAGGGAGTACTCTGCCCAGCCTATTTAATATTTCCTGTCTACTCTGTGCCTGGCGTGGAGTTTCATGTTCTCCCCGATCTAGCCCCTCCCCTCGCCCCCCACCGCCCTAGACTTGGCGCTCTGTCCCATTTTATGGCTGAGAAAACGGGAGGCTCAGAGAGCGAGGACGTTTCCGTGAAGACCCACGGGCAGTGAGCCGCAGAGACAGGATTCAAACGCAGCGCCCCGCACTGCCTCTGGCATTCAGAGAAAGCCTGTCTGCTCATACAGCTGCCCTGGGTCCTGGCCGGCCCTGGATGGGGGGGGGGGGGGGGGGAGAGGGCGGGGGGGAAGGGGGCGAGCTGCTGGCCCCCCCCCCGCTCAGGTGCGGTGACACAGACGCTCAGAGTGTGAGGGGCAGACTGAGAGGTCTGGGGTCTCTGAGATCATCTGCTCAGCCTGAGACGGCCTCGGGGGATGCCGAGGCCGGCGGCCCAGAGTGAGGCAGCCTGGAGGAGGGTGGACGGCCCACCCAAGCCTGCGCTGGGGTCCAGGGAGAGGCTGGGTACAGAGCCACCACTGATGGGGGTGGACCCCAGGACTGGGGGAAGCATGAGGGGCCAGCGAGTGGTCATCTGGAACCACATCCAGAGGGTGGAAAGTTCTAGAAGGCAAGGCAATCAACTCAAGGCCGTCTAGGGTCAGGTGGGCAGGTGGTGACTGTCCCATCTAAAGGCGTGGCCCAGCCTGGGTCACCAGTAGGAACAGGGCCCACGGTGGCTGCCTTCTTTTTTGCCAAGAGCCCAGAACTCTGACATTCTCCTGTGACCTGTCCTGACTCTTCAGACAACAAGAAATTATCATTTTCCATCAACAAAAGATACCTGAGGGCTCCGTCTGCCCCCAGGGCCACCGGTTTGAGATCTTCACCTACCACCACCTGCTCACTGCACGGAGGAGGGCTGAGAGGCCAGGAGCGGGCACGCAGGGACCCCAGACACCCCCCTGGCCCTCTCCTGCCACTCCCTAAGGCTGCCTTGGCCCCACGTGGCCCCCCGGGCCTCTACCTGGGGACCCACCAAACTCACCGGGACCCAGCAGGCCGGGCCTGAGCCCCTGACCCCAGCAGTCGGGGAGGGGAGGGGAGGGGGCCCCTCAGGGACGCCCGCCCTGCCACGGGCACCGCTTCCCGAGTGCTTACAGGGCGAGGTCGGCGACGTGCTTCCTCCCTCGGAGGTGGGTTTGGTGGCGGGGGGGAGCGCCAGCCGCGGCAGCCCAGGGGGCGGGGGTGCCAGCATCTGAGCAGAAAGGCAGTGACTGGACATTTTGAGCTGACCACTTCCATTTAACTGGGAGGAACAGAGAGACAGGTGGTTAAGGCGGCGGGCGCCCCCTCTGCCTCGGGCGGCCGTCGGCGGCCCTGCCGGGGGAGGGCCGGGCTTGGCGTGACCAGGCGAGTTTGGTGGGTGCCGCTGCCGCCCCCTCGCCTGACCCCGCAGGCCTCCAGAAGCATCCCGGGACCCTGCGTCTCCTCCTTAAGCCACTCTTTACCCGTCTGCTCCTTCCACGAGACACCACCTCACCCTGAACAACATCTGAACCCACGGGGGCTGTACACTCCCCTTGTCCACTACAAGGACGAGTTCGTCCACCACCTCGCCCACAGCTCCAAAATGCAAAAGGCTCTGAACGCTGAAAGCTTTTGTGGAGGTTTGGCAAAGGTGGGCCTGTGCTGAGGCCACAGGACCATGTGTGAATCTGGGTAAACTGTGTGCTGTCAATTCCAACACCCGGAAAAGCCTTCATTCTGATCTGGCCCAGCTCCGGGCACTTCAGACGAGGGAACACGGCCCTGCCGTCCACGAAACCATTTCAAACAGAGGCTGCCTGGCGGAGGGCTGCCCAGGACGGCTGCGTGATGTGCCAGGCCCCCCGGGGAGGTCCCCTGGAGCCATGTGTGGGCAGGCAGCCCTGTGGGGCAGAGGGGAGGCCCAAGCCCCCCAAACTCACCGGTCCAGGCTGCTGGCTGGCTGGGTCACAGGCCAGCGACACGAGATCTTTGAGCGGGTCCTGGGGGTTGAGGTGAGGTGGGTAGCGGATGGCCGTGTGCGGGAAGTAGGTGGAGGCCGTCTGGGGCAGGATGGAGGTCGTGGGGAAGTGTAGGGCCGAGGATGGGTGAGGGCTCCGGGCGATCCCTGCAGAGACCAGGAGGGGTAGTCAGTGGAGGCTCTGGGTGGGGGCGTGGTCTCCCAGCGACTGGGTCTGTGGGTGCAGGTCCCAATGACAGAGCAAAACCCAGCCCTTTACACGCCCAAGTTCGAGAACGTCTACCATAAGCCCATGGGGTTCTGGTATCACCTCCACCTTTTTTTTTTTTTTTTTTTTTTAAGTAGGCTCCACACCCAGCGTGGAGCCGAATGTGGGCCTTGAACTCACAACCCTGAGATCAAGACCTGAGCTGAGATCAACAGCTGGATGCTGAACCGAAGGAGTCCCCCAGGTGCCCCGGTTTCGTCTGGTTTTGAAACAGGATGACATGATGGCTCTCTGAGGTTATGTCCCCTGCCCCAGACCACACAGCAAGCAGGTGGCAGACCCAGGGGAAGGTCTGGCCCCACAGCCCAGAGCCCAACCCAAGGCTCGGCTAGCTCTTTCCAAAGACGGTTCACTGGTTTCTAGCATATTCTCTGTGCAACCACCATGATGGTTTCTTTTAGGACACTGCCATTATCCCGAAAAGCAGCCCCACCCCCATCAGCCATTACCCTCCCACCCCCCCCCCCGCCCCCGGGCCCCCCCGAGCCCCCTTCCCGTCCGTGGATGAGCCTGTTCTGGACGTGTCACCCACATGGACTCACACCCCGTGTGGCCTTCCGTGTCTGGTTCCCTCCCTGAGCGTCGTGGGCTCGGGGTCTGTCCCCTGTGTGGGCGCCTCACTCCTGTTCACAGGTGAGTAATGTGCCCATGTAGTATTTGCTTTTTTTCCTCTCCAAACAATCCACCACTGACTTTTTGTATATTCACTCCGTCGCTCTAGAACATTTCCACCAACCCCAAAGGCAGCCCTGCTTCTGTTACGGCTCAGTCCCCCCGCCCTCTCTCCAGCTCCTGGCCAAACAGTATGTACTTTTGGCTTCTCAGGTCCTAGGTTCTCCTATAGCTACTGGACCCTGCCCACTGCAGCCCGAGAGCTGCCGCAGATGATGTGTCAACGGGTGGGCGAGGCCACGCACCCGTGGAACCTTACTTACAGCGGCAGCTGTGGGCCTGGGCCGCTGCCTCGTGGTCTAAACCACGGCACGAAGCTGGTTTTTACCCGCCTCCCTGTACGTGTGTCTCCCCTGTGCACAGCTAAAGTGTTATCATTGTAACAACGGGCTCCCCGGAGATGTTCAAGCCCTTGATTTAGCTCGTTCGGTCCTAAGCACAGTCCCGGGGTGGTGGTGGGGGGAACGTTTATGAGCCCCAACTGCCAGGTGAGCAAACACAGAACCAGGGGCACTGTGCCCAGCTCAGCGCACGCCCACTGGCTGCTTGAGTGGGTCTCCCTCCTGTTCACGTGGCGCCCCTGTATCACCCGGGTGGCCTTGTGTGTATCCACCCCCTTCGGGGACCTCCCAACCCTGCAGGAGCTGAGTGTGAGATAAGGCGAGCAGGTTGAGGGACAAGCCCAGACTGTACCTCCTTCCTGTACAGAAGGGGACACCAAGGGACAGAGTCAGGGCCAGGCGCTCTGTACCATGACACCTCCAGGTTTTCTCACCTGGCCGGGAGACCGCGGTGACAGGACTCATGGTCAGATGGCCTGTGGGACATCCCTGGCTGAGGGGGGGCCTGCTCAGAGCCCCCAGCCGCCCTCCCTGCCCGGGGCCCCCGTGCTCACCGCTGTGCACGGCAATGACAGGCCGGTGGTGCTGGGTGAAGCTGGAGAGGCGAGGTGAGTCCTGGGGTGACGGGCTGTGGAACGGGGACTTGTCCATCTCTGTCTTCTTCACCGGGGACGAGATGCCTGTGTGGGAGGAGCCAGAGGGTCACAGGGCTGCAGGCATCAGATCCTGGCCCTTCCTTCTTCCAGCACCTCGGGGCCAACGGCCTGGGAGCCCACTGTCCATGGTGGGGCCGCACACCGGGGCTCCGAGCACAGAGAATCGGGGCTCTGAGCACAGAGAGGGGCCGCACAGGGTCATGTGGCCCACGGAACGAGGAGCATGGTGCCCACAGAGGCCCCTGGACGTCACAGCCTGGCTCCCGCCTTCTCTCCTTCCAGACACAGGTCCGCTCGGGGCTGCCAGGCTCTGGAGAGAAGGCCACAGGGTCCCTTCGAAAGCCCCATCGGGCAGAGGTGAGCTGGCAGGACACAGACAAGGCCCTGAGGGGCTCTGCGTGTGCAGACCTCATCCTCACTGTGGTGAGGAACAGAACCTTCCCTGTGGGGCCATCGTGAGGATGAAGCGAGACAGAACACTATGGCTGCTAGGTCAGGGCCCGGCACCTGCCCGACCTGCGGCAATCCCGAGCAGAGGGGCCTCACCGCCTCCCCAGCTGCCTGGGGCACCCCTGGCCCTGCGGTACCCCGACAGCCTCCAGCTCAGCCCCCGGCACCCCCCTCCATGAACAACTGGTGTAAATCGGGCCCGCAGAGACTCCACAGAGACCGTGGCACAGGTGTCCCCATTGTCCCGACGGGGGCAGACCAGGCCTCTGCTGGGCACACGGGGGCCCTGCAGAAATAGGTGAGCCCCCTGCACCCTCCATCCAGCACCCCCACCCCTGCCGTCCCCTAGATGTGCGGGAAGAGGGTGACGAGTGCAGACCCCCGGGCCCGGCTCCAACCCTGCGACCAGAATCTCAGGGATATGGGGCCTGCAGATAGATATGCTTAGAAATTATTTTAAAAATATAATTTAGAGTGACACACACCCACTGAGACTCAGAGTGGATTCAGACGTGGTGAGAGATGTGCCTTGCCTCCCACCCAGCACTGCTGACGTCAGGGCGGGTCATTCCCCGGGGAGGGGGGGCATCCTGCACGCTGTAGGCCGAGCAGCATCCTTGCCATGCCTCACCCCCATGCCAGGAGCCCCCCGAGCCACAGCCACAGAGGTCCCTGGGCAGAGTCGCCCTGGTGAGAGCCGCTCCCTCCTGAGGCTTGCTGTCATGGTTTCTGGGGTCTCCTGTCGCGCGTGCGCCGTGACGGGGGGGCATGTTCCCTCAGCCACACCGCTGGGCCCTGCTTCCCGTGGTCCCTCCGCCGGCCTTGGTGAACCAGATCTGGGAACCAGCCCCCCATGGCCATTAGGGCAGTCAGCTGGTTCTGCTGTTACAACCCTGGTCGCCAGCCCTGAACACACGCGGTGTGGGTCCTGGGACCTGGGTCAGCGGGCCCCACAGGCCTGGCAGCCACGCTTTCCCAGGGAACAGGAGGCGCTGATGGGACAGAGGTGGCCAGCAGGGGAGGCAGCCGGCCCTGGGTGGGGGGGGGTGTGTGTGTGTGTGTGATCCCTGCTGCTGCGGGGGGTGTGTGTGTGTGTGTGTGTGTGTGTGATCCCTGCTGCTGCGGGGCTCTGGTGGGAACGAGGTTAGGGCCGGGAGGCGCTCACTTAGGAGGATTTCCTAGAACAGGCTGTCCTGGATGGCAATAGCCTGGCTGGACCCTGCTCCCCAGCGCATCTCTACAGGCCCTTCTACAGCTTCCTGAGATGGGGCCTGGGGGAACCACGGCAGGCGGGAGGAAGCGGGGAGACTGACCCCAGGCCCTGCAAGAAAGAACAGCCCTCCGTGCTGCTGGGCAGGCCACCGGAGGCCCTGAGTGTGAATTCCCACATCCGGGCATCCCTCAGTGGTTCAGCAGACTTGCCTGCAATGCCCCTGTCTGAGGAGCTGCCGTCCAGTTAGGACACTGCTGGTATGGCCTCCACCCCTAGGTCCGAGCAGGCATCTTGCTGCTCAACACGTGTACCTCTGTGTTCCCATCCGGGCGCCAGGTCTGTGCCCCATCTGAGAAGGGCCGCCTTTACTGAGCACACAAGCCTGCAGCCCCCACTTCCTGTTCCCCGCCCCACCCTGCTCCGTCTGGCACCTGTCTAAGCACATCCTCCACCAAGTGGACCCACCTGCATGTGTATCTACTTGCTCAACACACAAGCCCATCCCAGCTCCACCGTCCAGGGCTCCCCGGCCCCAGCGCGTGCGGGCTGGCCCCCTGCGGTGTGTGCAGGCGGAGTGATGGGCGGGGGTGCGCCGCTCTGCCAAGACCAGCCATCATCTGGTGAGCGCGCGTGACGCAGGGGACGTGAGGCCCAGTGACTCTCCGCGGGGGCGTGCGGGGCACTGCGGGGGTGTGCAGCATCCCCGGCCCCACCACCGCGGTGCTGGGAGCCCCTCCCCAGAGCGGTGACAACCTGGATGTCCTGACTGGAGTCCCCTGGGGGCAGAGCGGCCCAGGTGAGGGCCCTCTGCAAGATCGTGGGCAGGGCACGCAGCTACCCCGTGCAGGACTTACAGGAGTCACCCCCACATGTGGACACTGGTGCCTGATGGGAGGTCACCGGCTGGAGGCCACGGAGCAGAGAAGTGGTGGGGCTGACTCTAACCACTGCACCTCCACCAGCCACGCTCTGCACCCCTCCCGCCACCCCGAGTTCCACAGAGGTGGACAAAGCCCCCCCCCCAACACGTGACAGGGAGAGAAGGGAGCTGCCTGCTTCACCCTGGATCATAACTGCATGTGTGGGGGGCCTACACCCCCTGCTGGAGGGCCCCTGGAGCAGCAAGAACCAAGCAGTCTGGCAGCTGAGCAGAGGGTGCCCCTTTCTGGCCCGCGTGGGTGGGTAATCAGGGAAGGCCTTGGGAGGGGGTGGCCAGGAGGAGAAAAGGCACTCCTACCTGGGCATAGAGAGGGCAAAGGCCTGAGAGGTGTGGCTGCGCGGATGCTGCCTGGGTGGGGCTGACATGGCGCCCCCCCCCCCCCCGGCCCCATAAGGGATGCTGGGGTTGGGGGGCCGTTAGCTGAGCGCTGCCCTTGTGCCCAGAGCAGAGGAAGGGAACAGTGCTCTAATCAGCTTAGCCCCCTTAATGAGCAGCTAATTGGGGGCTGTCTAGACAGGAAGCTGGAGGAAGCCAGGAGGAGGAGAAAGTGGGGGAGGGGGGAGGAGATGGGAGGGGAGGGGAGGGAGGAGGGGCAAAGGCGCAGGAGGGAGGAGAGAGAGGAGGAGAAGGGGAGGGGCGGGCAGAAGGGGGAGGGGAGGAGGAGGAAGAGGAAGAAGAGGGGGAAGAGAGGAATCCATCTTCCCACTAGGCTTGGGAGCTCCTGCGGGGCCCACACAGGACACACAGCAGGGGTCACAGCGGGGCTGGGGGGGTTACACCGAGGGTCCCACAGGAGGAAGCGAGTTTGCCATCACCCAAGGCAACCAACAGAGGCTAGAGGGGACAGATGGCCTCTGACATTCCCCTGCGCCCCGCGATTCCCCAGCACACAACAGGAGCGGGTGTGGGTTCCTCCCCCTCCCCCACGGCTGCCACTTCATGCTCAAGGCAGGAAGTTCAGACCCAGCTCCAGTCCAGTGACTCTCGAGAACATTTCCTTCCTTTAAAAAAAGTTTTTTTTCCTTTTTGAGCTTCCTGCATTGAAAGCTAGGTTTTTTACGTCCATCCCTTCTCTTTTTCTAACCCATAGACTTGAGACTATAATTTTTCCTCTCAAGGCTGCTGTGGCTACATCACAGAGGCTGTCCTCCACCTCTAGGGGTAGTATATAGCTTATACGTAGTCTTGTCAATCACAGAGCCAACGAGGAGTGCTTTCGGCTTCTCAATCAGTAAACGACAGGGCAGAAGTTAACGGTCTCCCAATATCTGCTCTACCCTTCTTCCTTAGTAGCAGAACCCTTAAATTTGAGACGGGCACATACTTGCCGAAAATAAGATGACATTTCCCAGAGTCCCTTGGGGCAGAGTGTGGCCATAGGACCAACTCAGGGGCATAGAGATCAGCAAAGGAGGTAAGTGCATCTTCTGAGAATTATTCTTAAAGAGCGAGGACATGCTCATACTTGACCCTTCTTTCCTCCTGGCTGGAAAGTAGACCTGATGGCTGGAGCTCCAGCAGTTGTCTTGGACCACGAGGTGGGAAAGAAAACCATATTCACTGGAGCGTAAGGCAGGAGCCTAAGTCCTGCACAACATCCATGTCCAGGGGTGCTGATGGCTGAATGTTTACTTTCAGGAGAAATGTCCTGTCCTTTTGGGTTTTCTGTTTCTCACAATCAACTTAAAGCTTATTAAATACAGGATTTTTATAGAGGCAAACCTGACAGAAACGGGGAATGCACAGAGAGAGCCACAGAGACACCGCGACCCATAAATTAGGGTCTATAATAAATAGATCCTCCCAAAGTACCAGCTCTGAGAGCCACCGCAGTGGAAGAGGGAGGACCCTTGGGGCTCGCGTGTACAACCAGATGAGTTGGAGACTGACTCGTAGAGATGGGAATTGTATAAAGACACAAACAATGAACTGTGTCCTGGGCACTTACCATGTGCCAGAGAGTTGCTTTAGGCACATCCTACCATTTCCTCCTTCCAACTCCAGGAGAGAACAGTTAGCTCATCAATCCCATTTGGGACATAAGGAAACTGGGGCTCAGAGAAGTCAAGTCACCTGCCCAGTTACACAGCCCCCACAGCGAGCCAGTGGCAGGGCTGGATTTCAGACCCCAGTCTCTCTTCCGTCTAAACCTGCTCTCTTAACTGAAATGTTAACACTGCTTTCCAGGAATCCTGGAGGTATGACAGTCTGAACAGAGTTTCATAGGAAAGCTGGCCCTTGGGGGCTAGGGAGGAGGGACAAAGGGGGAAGACACAAGCAAACCACTCCTAAGATTTACTGGGTGGGTATTACGCGCCAGGTCTGTTTCAGGGACACCGAATGCATTAACTCAATCCCCAAACCAACCTCAGAGGGGCAGTGCATGTATTAACAACCCCATTTCACAGACGAAGAAACAGGCTCAGAGAAGTGGGTTCCCCAGAGGCTGTACGGGCCGGTGCACCCGAGTCCAGGTCGGCAACCCCTGGCTAATCCGTGGGGTGAACCCCTGATAAGGGCTAAGGGTCTGGACAGTGTGATGCTTCCGAAATCTGGGGCACAGATCCCGCTGAAGATCTAAGAGTCGCCAGGGACGCCGTGCCCAGGGTAAGGCAGGCGCGTCGGCCGCCCTGCGCACCAGTTCGCGAGCATCCCCGAGGCCGGCCCGCTGCAGAGCAGAACCTCGGACGCCTCGGAGGGGAATCGCGGTGGAGACGGGGACCCCACGGGGCGGGGGGAGTCTTTGGAGGAGGCCCGTGGGGAGCGAGCGCTGCACAGAAGGGCGCCGATGGAAACGCCACCCCCGCAGAACAGGACCCCGATCTGGGGAGGGCCAATGAAGACAGAAGCGCGAGGACACGATCTCCCCGGAAAGGACACCGAGGGAAAAGCGACGGGGCTCGGAGAGAACTGGACTCACACGCGCGAAGACCCCGCGGGGATGAGAATCCCCTGAGAACACGACAGCCTCTAGCTAAGGGTCTGAGGCCGACCCCGGGAAGAAGCGCCCTGCCCTGCTGATCAGAAGCGCTACCGAGTCCATACTGGAACGCCGCGATGAACCCCACGGGGATGAGGCCTTACCGGGCAGAGGGCAGGAAAGTCGCCCGAGGGACAGTCTCCGCTCACCCTGGCCTCAGCGGAACCAAAAAGCTCGGAAACGAGAGCCCGGACTTGCAGCGACGAACACCCCCCCCCCGCGACTACAATTCCCAGGAGGCTCCGCGGCTCCAGCCCCCCCACCCCCAGGTTCCCGCACCCTGGGAGCCCGCGCAGTGCCTACCGGGATATGTAGTCCCAGCCGCGGCAACCCCACCCCGACCCGGAGGCCGGCTCCGCCCCCACCGCCAGGCCCACCTCCTTCCATGTCTTCAGTCCAGTTGCGGCTGCTACTCGTGGGAGAGCTGGGCGAGGTGTAGTAGTCGCCGCCGGGGCTCGTGTCCACGTCTTCCTCCATCGAGCCCGATTTGTGCCGCTTGCTCCTAAGGAGTGAGGGAAGGAGAGCGCAGGCCGGTTACCACGGAGACTCGAGGGTGTGGGGCAGGCTGCGTAACTTCCGGTCCCTAGAGGGCAGGGCGAGCAGGGTGCTATCGCGAGACGCGGCGGGAAGCCGCGGGCTCTCAGCGGGTGGCGTGAACGCCCGTCTCGACCTGCCCATTGCTCCGATGGGACGCGTGGGGCCGCAGGCGGCAGCTAGCGGGCTGCGGACTAAGACCCCACGGGCCTGGCTCATCACGGGGCCTCCCGTAACCCTCCGAACACCCGGGTAGGGCTACGGCCCCATTTTCCAGATGGGGAAACCCAAGCAACCACGGTGTGACCAGCTCAAGGTTACACAGCGTATCGCAGCGAGAACCAGTGTCCACCTTCTCGTGGACTCTCCAGGGCTGGGCTCACAGGACTCAAGGCTGCGGGAACGCTGACTGGGGTGCCAGGGCTGGGGACAGCAGCGCTCGGGGCTGGGTTTTGAAGGATCAGTAGGAGTTTATCAAGTGGACCTTGAAAGCAGGCACTGCAGGGAGAGGAATGGACCACCGGGGCCAGAGGGACGTAGGGGAGGGGTCGTTCAAGGCCCCGAGGCGGGGGCCGGGGCACGTACCCGCTGGAGGAAGTGCTGGGTAGCGTTCTTCTCATGCCTGTGCTGGCCGGATTCAGGTCGTAGGCCAGGTGTCCCTGCAGCTCCCCCAGGGAGAAGTTGGGTCCTGTTCCAGTCACCACGGGGGCTGCAGAGGGCAGGAGCGAGCAGAGTGAGAGAGGGCGCAAGGTCCAGGGGTGCAGTGTGCCCTGGAGGGTGCGGAGAGCCATCTGGGGGCCGGCTGGTGCGAAAGGGAACCCCTTCCCTGATGGGCCTGGTTCCTAATTTGGCTGAAACTGTCCTGTTCTATGGATCAGAAGACCAAAGCCCGCAAGAGAGCTGGTTCACACTGTGAGGCAGAGGCAAAGCCGGAGGCCAAGCTTGCCCGTGCTCCCTGAGGCCAGGCTCTGCTGATGGGGACAGGGAGGGTGACGGTCAGAGGGACGGTCAGGGTGAAGGCCGGACAGTGCCCACACCTCCCTGGGGTGGAACTCCCTTGGGGGTGTCAGGGGAATGGGTCCCCAGCAGGTCCATTAGGAGCGTAAGGGAACGGGAGGCAAAGAGAGGAGGGGGTGGGGCCCTTTGGGGTCTCCTCCTGGAGGGGTCGGGAGGCCCCAGGAAGGGACACGGGCAGAAGGTTTTCCAGCACCCTCCATCCACCGTGTGCAGTCTGTTTCCTGGGGAGGAGCATGGTACCCTGACCCTTGGTTCTAGGAAGGGCCTGGATGCCGCCCTAACTAGGGACCTTGGCTTGGTGACAGAGGGGAGCAGGGCAGGGTGAGGGGCTCCTCGCCTCTCCCTGAGACCCTTTTCCTCTCAGAGCCTCCCCTCCCAAAGCCCCTTCTCCCTCTCCATTGCCCCTTCCCTGTGGGAGTCCCTCCCCTCACTGGATCCGGGCACAGGGTGGGCGGGGACACTCACTCCGGGACACTTGGATGAGCTCGGTGACACTGAACACACCGGAGGTGACGAAGCTCTCCTGGAAATCCGTGGTGTCTGGAACAGGGAGAAAATGGGGCTCACTGGGTCTGTTTCCTTCTTCGACACCCTGGGCTACCCACACTCCGGGGGCTGGAGTGGTCACCCTGTCCACCCCCTGCAAGTCTGTGGCAGGACGGCGGTAGAGGCCGCACCCGGGTTCAAGTCGCGGCCCTGCTGCCCGGATCTGATCTTGGGCAAGTCACTTCCCATCCCTGAGCCTCCCTGCTCCCTAATCTCGGAAACGGAGGCCACGTACCCTGTCATCTGGGCAGCTGAGAGATATGAATCAACTGCCCAGGAGGGGCTGGCTTGCTTCCTGCGTCACTCCTTACACCATGCAATGCTGCAGCTTCTTATCCTTCCCCCTCCAGACTGGGAGCTCTGTGATGATGGGGTTCCGTGTGCCCAGATCCCAGTGTCCCTAGGGCCCAGACCAGAGCCTGGCCAACAGCAGCGGCTCAGAACCACAGGCTGGATGGAGGGCCCCCCTGCAGCAGTTAAAATCCCCAGTGTCCCCAGAACCACTCCTAGTGTCAGAGGGAAGAGAGACCCTTCTCTCTGGTGTGGGGTGGCCGGGACCCGTTTTATGGATTTGGAAACAGGTTGGCTCCAAGAGGGCGGGAGCCCTGGCTGACCTCAGACAGCTGGGAGCTGGCCTCCTGTGCCCCCAGAGGCCCACACAGGCAGGATTCACTTACTCAACAAGCATTTACCAAGTGCCTCTAGTGTCCAGTTCTGAGCTGGGCGCTGCAGACACTGTGGGAATGAGGCAGACACAGCGGCTGCCCTCCTGGGACTCACTGTCCAGTGTGGGCAGTGGACACGTGACATCAATAAGACACAAAACCCTGTACATGAACGCACATAGGGGCGTGATTTACAACAGCCCAAACTGGAAACAACCCATCAGCAGATGAACGGATACACAAAACATGGTCCATCCACGCACGGGGGCGTCCCGTGGCCACGAGCAGGAGCCAGGCGCCCACACGCGCGGCCCCGGGGACGGACCCCGAGCCCACGACACTCAGAGAAGGAACCAGACACAGAAGGCCACACGGGGTGTGAGTCCACGTGGGTGACACGTCCGGAACGGGCTCATCCGCGGACGGGAAGGGGGCGTGTGGGGGCCAGGGGCTGGGGGCAGGGATGGGGGTGACGGCTGATGGGGACGGGGTTTCCTTTGGGGGAGAGGGAATGTTCTGGAACTGGATAGAGGTGGTGGTTGCACAACAGTATGAATGTACTTAATGCCACTAACTGTACATTTGATGTTCTGTGAATTTAACCACAATAAAAAATATTTAAAATCATGAAGTCAAATGCGCCAACGTGTCAGGCAGTGATAGGCAGGCAGGGTTAGGGGAGCCTGCTGGAAAGGTAACCTACTTCACGCGAAGGACCCTCGGAAGGCCTTGCTGTGGGTGACATTTTACCAAGACCTTCAGGTAGGGGTGGATAAGAGGAGTGGATGCATTAAAATTTGGGAAATGGCAAGGACAGCAAGTGTTGGTTGCTGTGACTGGGGTGATCTTAAACGTGGTGTTTTGCTGCCTCCCTGAGGGCCACGATATTCCCACTGGTGGCCCATGCAAAGGCCCTGGGGTTGGAGGCCAACAGGGCTGGAGTGAAAGGAGCCAGGGAGGGCTGTCAGAGCAGGGTCAGGACCAGCAGGTGGGCAGCGCGAGGCTCCTTGGGGAGGCGAGAGCAGTTCTTCGCCAGGCCCCCAGGGGGCAGCATGGGCCACAGGGAGCTGACCTTGGTGCCCGGTTTCCCCAGCTGTGGGAGATCCAAGGCCCGGCCAGTCCAGAAACTGCAGCCTCCCTGGTTATGAGCTTTGTGAACACCATTTGTTGTGCAATTATTATATGCCCAGCCCCATGCTGGGGGGCTCTGGGCCACAACATCCCTGGGAGGACAGGGTGATGGCCCCCCAGTGTCCAGGGGAAGTGGCCATGGCCATTTCCTGCCACCCAGATGGCCAGCTGGTGTCAGCACGCCCCTCCGCCTTCCCCCCCCACCGGGGTTTCCTGTTTGTGCAGCACTCGCCCAGCTCCATCTCCAGGGGACTCCCTGGCGGGTGGGAGGAAGCGCTTTCCCCCCCGCCAGACGCTGGAGCTCCCCACGGGACCAGGCCAAGCACCGCTGCCCCCGCCTGCCTTGAACATCTGGCTTGGAGGCAGGCGCCTGGAGATCACAGGAGGCCAAGGAGGACTCAGGGTCACAGACGGCCAGTGGTGAGCAGCCTGAGGGCCCGTGAACCTCCTGGAATCGCCCGGCCTCCCTGTGCTGGTCCTTCCTACGGGGAGGTCCTCACCCACTTGCTTTTTCTTCCATTCTTCCTTCCTCCCTTTTCGTCTCTCCTCCCTCCTCACCCCTGCTATACCATCTCTCTAGTTTCTCTTTTTCTCTCTGCTTCATCTCTCCCTCTCTCCTTTTTTGCTTTCTGCAAATATTTATTGAACACTTATTATGGACCAGGTCCTATCCTAGGCACTGAGGACCCAATGGTGATCAGGACAGACAAAAGCCTCTGCCCTCAAGGAGGGGACGTTGCATTCGGAGAGATAAACACATGTGCAGTCGCTAAGCAACTAAGCAAATGCATATGCAATCACTAACTTCCTCAGAAGGAAATAAAACAGAAGGTGGCCACTGAGAGTGGCTAAGGCTGCTTGAGATCAGAAGATCTCTCTGGGAGGGAAGCATGTGAGCTGAGACCTGGGAGATCCAAAGAGAGAGAGAGAGAGAGAGAGAGCAGTCAGCTGTCCAACTAGAGAGCAAAGCACATGCAAAGGCCCTGAGCCGGGGACTGGGCCTGGACTGTTAGAGGAACAGCTAGGAACCCATGTGGCTGGAGCAGAGAGTGAGGGAGAGACAGGGTGGAGGGGAGGGCAGGGAAGGCACAGGGACAGATCCTGAAGGGCCCTGGGGGTCAGAGGAGGACTTTTACCCCAAGGGAGGTGGGAACCCTGGAGGGCTCTGAGCAGAGGAAGGCAGGACCTGACTCAGGTGCTCACAGGCACTCTCTGGCTACTTTAGGGAGGACAGACTGGGGAGGGTGGGGGCAGAAGCCAGGGGACCAGGGTGGAGGCAACTGCTCTGGTCCAGGAGGGTGATTATGGGGGCAGCCCAGGGCAGAAGCAGGGCCTCTGCAGCTTCTGCATTCTTTCTGTTCTCCGGGGCTCTGCTCCCAGCCTTGCCTGAGGCCGACTCTCTCACTTCCCACCAACGTAGAAGTGACTCGCCCTGCTCATCCACTGAATGTCCCATGGGATTGCAGGGACCCCTGGGGCCCCACCTGTGGGGTGAGCACTTCAGTGCCCGGATGCTGGGAGCTGAGGGTTGTGGGCTCCAACCCCAGCTTCCTGGGTGCCCCTGGGAAGGCCCCTTAACCTCTCTGAGCCTTGGCTTTGTCATCTACACAATGGAATAACAGTAGCACCTGTTCATGGCATGGCTGTGATGAACGAATCCACTAATCTCTGGGGTGCCCACACAGGGCCACGCAGAGCACACAGGGTCCCCCCCTCCTTCAGCATCCCCAGACTCACCCAGTGTGATAGGCTTGCTGTCCTCCTGGTCGGAGCCCATCCCTGCCCGGGGACTGCCGCTCTGCTCCGCATCTGTAGAGGGAAGGAGGAGGGGGTGGTGACATTGCAGGGAACCCCACCCCAGGGGGAGAGGAGACACCCACGCTGGGGCCAGGCTGGGCAGTGCCGTGGAGAAGCAGCCCCCAACGCGCCCAGGCCCCGGGGTCTCCACTTGGCCCCTTCCCTTGGCCGCTGCCCCACAGGGTCATGGGCATCTGGCAGGACCCGCACGTGGCAGAGCCTGTGTGCAGGGGCTGACTCAGTCACAGGCTGGAGATCTTCCCCTCCCTGAGCCTGTTCCCTCATCTATGAAATGAAGGTAGCTTGCTTACTAACTCGTGAGGGTAACTCATTCATCCTGCCTTAACCCTGGGAGGCAGGAGCCACCATTATGCCCATTTTACAGATGGGGAAACTGAGGGCCAAAGAGACGAGTCCTTGAGCCCTCAGGCCCCCTCCGCTCGGCCTCTGCCCTCAAAGTCCTGGGGGTCCAGCACTTGGTCTTGGGTTGTCACGCACGGCGCCCAGGAGGGGGCGGAGGGGCGTCCCCCTGCAGCTTCTATACTGCCACCCACCCGCCTGGCTTGGGGGCTCCCTCCCACCCTGGCGCCCGCCTCTCCATCTTATCTAAAAATAATCAGGCTCCTTGGCAGACGGGCGAAGCAGACAGACGCTGAGCTCAGCATTATCAGCTCTGGCGTCCTGGATGGCGAGCAGCGCCAACCCCCCTCCCGCAACCCCCTCCATGTCCGATGCACGGGTGTGGGGGGGGGCCCATGGCCAAGCCCAGCCAGATGGAACCCCTGGCCCTGAGTTGTCTCTCAGGTCAAAGACCAAGGTGGTGCGAATCACCATCAAAGGCCAAAGGAAGAGAATCAGCCCCTTCCACCTGCCACATCCCAAAGCCAGACATAATCGCTGTGTGACATCAGGCATGTTGCTGAACTGTTCTGAGCCTCAGTTCGCTCCTTCAAATGGGTGCAAGCACCACCAAGGGGTGGTAAAGAGATGATACCAAGAACTGGACACCTGGGGATGTCCTTCACGTCATTATTATCGTTGGTGTTATGTATGTTTAAATCCCGAAGATGACCGTCAACGTGGCGCTTTATTGTTCCCATTTGAGACGTTCCCTAAAATCCTTGAGAGAGCCACACATCTGGCATCGTTATTGGATCCACCTTATGGACAAGGAAAACGGAGGCTGAAACAATGAAGAGGGGCCTACCCCACGGCACACTTGCACCCTCCCTCAGGAGGGTGATTTTCTGCTAGTTTGCACCGGCGTCCAGACATCCACCACGTGGCTGTGCGTGACACGACTGGCTTCTGGGCTCAGATGCCTGGGTTCCCATCCCAGCTCCAGGAGCCTCGGTGGTGATGGGCCCCCAGCAAGCCCGGGAGGCTGTGGAGGTAATGTGCTGATGCCTCCTAGAACAGCCACGAGCCCTCGCCCTTTGCCCTGTGGCTTTGCACACACTGTGTGTTGAGCACCTCCTGGCCGCCAAGATTGAGGATGCCCTAAACAGCGCCAGAGCGAGGACCCGTGCCTCAGTTTCCCCACCCACAGCACGAGTGGATGGGGGCAGCTCCAGTCGTGACCGACTGGGCTGGGCACGGCTGGGCAGCAGCCGAGGGGAGTGTGCCCGGCTCGGCCCCACGCCCTGTGGCTGCTCCCGGGCTGGGCAGCCAGCGGCCCCTTGGCGCTGGCCACTCCTGCTTGGATGACCACGCGGCTGGGCACGGGTGGCCCCTGCGTTGGGAAGAGCCCAGCCCGGGCAGCTGGCCGTTGGGCTGCAGGCCTCGGGCACAGGACCCTCTCGTGGAACCGGCGCCCACACGGACTCAGCAGGAAGCAGTGCCTAGCTGGCCCGCGGGTGCTGCCCCAGGAAGGGGGCGTGTCCCCCGGGCACCGCCTGCGTGCTGGCGCTCGGCAATCAGGGCCACAGGGCCGCGGGCCTCACCTCTCCCTGTGCCTCTCTCTCCTCATCCGGGAAGTGGGCACAACGACAGCACCTCTCTCAGAGGTAGTTCTGAACCGAGAAGGTGACAACGGATGCAACACGCTGCCCCACAGGGTGGGCGGCTCACCATCAGCACTTCACCAATCGGAGGGGGGCACTTCATCACTCTCCGTGCGACTTCCCTTGTTTCCGTCCCGGGTGCTGGTACTTTGCACCCACTGAGAGCGAGGGCCCTGGGCTAAGCCTGGCTCCTGCTGGGGGCCCTTATCCCCTCTCGCTCATTCACTCCGTGACCTTGGCCAGCGGCCATGCCACCTCTCTGAGCCTCAGCTCCCTCGGAGTAAAACGGGGAAGATAGCAAAACCCACCCCCCGGCTTTGATAGGGCACCAAAGCGGCTAATAATACGTGTAAAAGGGTTGGCATGTACCAACATTCAAAAAATGGTAGGCTTGGGGAGCGGCTGAAAACAACATTGTGTTCTTAATTTCGGTCTCTAATTGTCCGTTGCTTGCACGGAGAACGGCCGGCGGCTGGGTTTTTTGTGTCAGTCTTGGATTCTGCAACCCCACTGAACTCACTCAGTAGTTCTAGGGGATGTTTACGTTTGTATAGATTCCTTGGAACTTTCTTAGCAGGCCATCACGTACTTTGCAAATAGGGGCAGCTTTATTCCTTCTTTCTCATCTGTATGCCTCTGATTTCCTTTTCTTGCCTGATTGCTCTGGCGAGGACCTCCAGCACAACACTGAACACAAGGGCTGAGAGCAAGTGTCCCTTCCTGCTTCCGATCTTGGGGGGAACTCACTCAGTCTCTCACCACTGAGTGCAAAGGTAGCCGTGGCTCTCTGCTGACCCCCTTCACTGGGCTGAAGCTTTTTTTAAATATAGTCCCCTTTTTTTCTTCTATACTCCCCAAGCTTTTCTTTTTTAAATTAAATAAGTGTAGTTTCTAAAAAAAATGATGCTGTAATTATATGCTATCTCATTAAATTTTTTTAAATTTGGTTTTTAAATTGTGCTTAAATATACATAGCATAAATTTTACCATTTAACCATTTCTAAGTGCACAGCTCAGCGGCATGAAGCCCACTCACCCGGTCCTGAGACCACCCCCACCCTGTCTCCAGAACGTTCCATCTCCCCACACGGAGACTCTGTCCCCACCCCCTGCCCCAGCCCCGGCTCCCACCCTCTCCTGTGTGGACGGGACTCCTCTGGGGACCTCCTGGGACTGGGGTCCTGCGGGACGTGTCCTTCTGGGTCTGGCTCCTCTCACTGAGCCCGGTGTCCTCGGGGTCCCTCCACGTCGTGGCAGGTGTCAAGATGTCCTTCCTTTTAATTATGCCATCTTATTTTTAATTACCTCTCAGCTTCGGCATATTTCTCGTCCATCTGCTGACCATTTGCCTGTCACTTGGCTCCTGAAAACTCCCACCTTCTTGAGCTGTCCAGTATGGGAGCCACTAGGCACATGTGACTCGAAATTTACATCCGCTAAACTGAAATTAAGTTAGAATCTCAGGACTTCAGTGGCACTGGTCATCTCTCAATCCTCAAGAGCCCACAAGACTGGTGGTGACTGAATTGGACGGTGCCGAATATCACCATCTGCATAGAAAGTTCCACTGGGCTGAGGGCCTGTGGATGTTTCTATGAAAACTTGGGAGTGCGTGGGCACAGGTAATCCCCTCCTCCTCTCATCTACGTAGACAGCCAGCCCTAAAATGCACCTTCCTCTGGTCTGAACAGATGTACCCAGAGTGGATAATGCCTAAAGGATGGCTAATGTCCAATGCCCCACGATGCCCCACGATGCCCCAGGCCCCAGGCCATCAGCTTTCATTTGCCAAGTTTCACTGTGTGAAGAGCTTCATGGCACCATCTGATTCAACCAACCCAACTGATGAGTTTGGTAAACTGAGGCCCACCTCAGAAAGTCTGTATCCCAAAGCTGATGTCAAGTCAAAGAAGTTGCGTGCCTAGCACAGAGTAACGTCACTGGGGTGATCTTGCCCCTCAGGACAATATCTGGGGACGTCTGTAGGTCGTCACGACGGGGGGTGCTCCTGGCACTGAGTGGGTGGGGTCACGGGTGCTGTTCAGCGCCCCCCCCCCCCCCGCCCAGGACGCCCCCACAGAGAGCGACCCGGCCCAGCGTCTGCAGTGCCAAGTGGGGAGACCCTGGTCTGGACCCATCCACTTTCAGTGGGGGTGAAACCGGTTCCTGGGGAGGGTATGGAGGATCTAAAGATTTTACTCTTTCGTGTATAACACATCAATATAGATACAGCACATAAACAGACATATACCTGTGATATTAAAACTTCACGGGGCAGAGGGATTAAAGAAAAAAATGTCTATAAAGGATCTGTTGGTGAGGCAATAATTAAAAGGGGGGGTACATTTTGTACCCTAGTGAATTTTTAAAGGACTGTAAAAGGAGAAAGGAGAGTATGTGACAGAAACCGTATGAGACCTGCCAGGTCTTAAATATTGACCATCTGGGCCTTTACTGAAAGTCGGCTGACTTCCAGCTGCATGTCGTCCGGCAAGTTCTTGACATCTCCGAGCATCCTTTTTCTTCATCCATAAATCGGATGCAAACCACACTGCCCTTATTCCTTTTGAAGGGAACTGATTGCTGAGCACCTCCTGGGGGGCCCAGCAGTGACCAAGATGGACAAAAGGCCTTGCCCTCATGGCACTCACGTTCTAATGGGGGAGCGACAGGCGATGACCAAGTAAGCAAATAAATGAGGAGGAGAACCTCAGGCTGTGCCAAGTGCAAGGGAGGCTAAACCACCGGGAGACGTGGGTGGCAGCTCCTGGAGGGTGCGGGGCTCAAGCTGGAGCTCCTGGGCGGGTTGGTAAGGCCCCTCCATGTGAAATGGTCCATTCCAATAGTTGATACTTAGTGAGTCGTTTCTTTGACTAGACTGGTCCGCAAGTTTCACCTCCACTGACTTATTTAATCTTCAAAACTCCCCCAGGAGGACAACACGGATGGAGCTAGAGAGTATAACACTCTGAGGGAAGTAAGTCAGTCAGAGAAAGGCAAATATCATAT